AAATGCAGCAAAAGCCTCTGGTAAGGGCGCTGCGAGGCATTTGAAGGGAGGCTAAAAGTTCTTGGAAAGCGCCCAGAATCCTGCAAAATGCAGCAAAAGCATCTGGTAAGGGCGCTGCGAGGCATTTGGAGGGAGGCTACTGCCTAACGTCGCTTTCTTGGAAAGCGCCCAGAATCCTGCAAAATGCAGCAAAAGCCTCTGGTAAGGGCGCTGCGAGGCATTTGAAGGGCGGCTACTGCCTAACGTCGCTTTCTGAAGCCACGAGACAAATTCTTGGAAAGCGCCCAGAATCCTGCAAAATGCAGCAAAAGCCTCTGGTAAGGGCGCTGCGAGGCATTTGGAGGGAGGCTACTGCCTAACGTCGCTTTCTGCAGACACTAGAAAAGTTCTTGGAAAGCGCCCAGAATCCTGCAAAATGCAGCAAAAGCCTCTGGCAAGGGCGCTGCGAGGCATTTGAAGGGCGGCTACTGCCTAACGTCGCTTTCTGAAGCCACGAGACAAGTTCTTGGAAAGCGCCCAGAATCCTGCAAAATGCAGCAAAAGCCTCTGGTAAGGGCGCTGCGAGGCATTTGGAAGGAGGCTACTGCCTAACGTCGCTTTTCTGCAGCCACTAGAAAGTTCTTGGAAAGGCCCAGAATCCTGCAAAATGCAGCAAAAGGCCTATGGTAAGGGCTACTGCCTAACGTCGCTTTCTGAAGCCACTAGAAAAGCTCTTGGAAAGCGCCCAGAATCCTGCAAAATGCAGCAAAAGCCTCTGGTAAGGGCGCTGCGAGGCATTTGAAGGGCGGCTACTGCCTAACGTCGCTTTCTGAAGCCACTAGAAAAGCTCTTGGAAAGCGCCCAGAATCCTGCAAAATGCAGCAAAAGCCTCTGGTAAGGGCGCTGCGAGGCATTTGAAGGGCGGCTACTGCCTAACGTCGCTTTCTGCAGCCACTAGAAAAGTTCTTGGAAAGCGCCCAGAATCCTGCAAAATGCAGCAAAAGCCTCTGGTAAGGGCGCTGCGAGGCATTTGGAGGGAGGCTACTGCCTAACGTCGCTTTCTGCAGCCACTAGAAAAGTTCTTGGAAAGCGCCCAGAATCCTGCAAAATGCAGCAAAAGCCTCTGGCAAGGGCGCTACGAGGCATTTGAAGGGCGGCTACTGCCTAACGTCGCTTTCTGAAGCCACGAGACAAGTTCTTGGAAAGCGCCCAGAATCCTGCAAAATGCAGCAAAAGCCTCTGGTAAGGGCACTGCGAGGCATTTGGAGGGAGGCGACTGCCTAACGTCGCTTTCTGAAGCCACTAGAAAAGTTCTTGGAAATGAAAGCGCCCAGAATCCTGCAAAATGCAGCAAAAGCCTCTGGTAAGGGCGCTGCGAGGCATTTGAAGGGAGGCTACTGCCTAACGTCGCTTTCTGCAGCCACTAGAAAAGTTCTTGGAAAGCGCCCAGAATCCTCCAAAACGCAGCAAGCGCCTATATGGTGAGGGCGCTGCGAGGCATTTGAAGGCAGGCTACTGCCTAACGTCGCTTTCTGAAGCCACCAGAAAAGTTCTTGGACAGCGCCCAGAATCTTGCAAAATGCAGCAAAAGCCTCTGGGAAGGGCGCTGCGAGGCATTTGAAGGGAGGCTACTGCCTAACGTCGCTTTCTGCAGCCACTAGAAAAGTTCTTGGAAAGCGCCCAGAATCCTGCAAAATGCAGCAAAAGCCTCTGGTAAGGGCGCTGCGAGGCATTTGAAGGGAGGCTACTGCCTAACGTCGCTTTCTGAAGCCACGAGAAAAGTTCTTGGAAAGCGCCCAGAATCCTGCAAAATGCAGCAAAAGCCTCTGGTAAGCGCGCTGCGAGGCATTTGGAGGGAGGCTACTGCTTAACGTCGCTTTCTGAAGCCACTAGAAAAGTTCTTGGAAAGCGCCCAGAATCCTGCAAAATGCAGCAAAAGCATCTGGCAAGGGCGCTGCGAGGCATTTGAAGGGCGGCTACTGCCTAACGTCGCTTTCTGAAGCCACTAGAAAAGTTCTTCGAAAGCGCCCAGAATCTTGCAAAATGCAGCAAAAGCCTCTGGTAAGGGCGCTGCGAGACATTTGAAGGGCGGCTACTGCCTAACGTCGCTTTCTGAAGCCACTAGAAAAGTTCTTGGAAAGCGCCCAGAATCCTGCAAAATGCAGCAAAAGCCTCTGGTAAGGGCGCTGCGAGGCATTTGAGGGAGGCCTAACTGCCTAACGTCGCTTTCTGAAGCCACTAGACAAGTTCTTGAGAGCGCCCAGAATCTTGCAAAATGCAGCAAAAGCCTCTGGTAAGGGCGCTGCGAGGCATTTGAAGGGAGGCTACTGCCTAACGTCGCTTTCTGAAGCCACTAGAAAAGTTCTTGGAAAGCGCCCAGAATCCTGCAAAATGCAGCAAAAGCCTCTGGTAAGGGCGCTGCGAGGCATTTGAAGGGCGGCTACTGCCTAACGTCGCTTTCTGAAGCCACGAGACAAGTTCTTGGAAAGCGCCCAGAATCTTGCAAAATGCAGCAAAAGCCTCTGGTAAGGGCGCTGCGAGGCATTTGGAGGGAGGCTACTGCCTAACGTCGCTTTCTGCAGCCACTAGAAAAGTTCTTGGAAAGCGCCCAGAATCCTGCAAAATGCAGCAGAAGCCTCTGGTAAGGGCGCTGCGAGGCATTTGGAGGGAGGCTACTGCCTAACGTCGCTTTCTGCAGCCACTAGAAAAGTTCTTGGAAAGCGCCCAGAATCCTGCAAAATGCAGCAAAAGCCTCTGGCAAGGGCGCTGCGAGGCATTTGAAGGGCGGCTACTGCCTAACGTCGCTTTCTGAAGCCACGAGACAAGTTCTTGGAAAGCGCCCAGAATCCTGCAAAATGTAGCAAAAGCCTCTGGTAAGGGCGCTGCGAGGCATTTGGAGGGAGGCGACTGCCTAACGTCGTTTCCTGAAGCCACTAGAAAAGTTCTTGAGAGCGCCCAGAATCTTGCAAAATGCAGCAAAAGCCTCTGGTAAGGGCGCTGCGAGGCATTTGAAGGGAGGCTAAAAGTTCTTGGAAAGCGCCCAGAATCCTGCAAAATGCAGCAAAAGCATCTGGTAAGGGCGCTGCGAGGCATTTGGAGGGAGGCTACTGCCTAACGTCGCTTTCTTGGAAAGCGCCCAGAATCCTGCAAAATGCAGCAAAAGCCTCTGGTAAGGGCGCTGCGAGGCATTTGAAGGGCGGCTACTGCCTAACGTCGCTTTCTGAAGCCACTAGAAAAGTTCTTGGAAAGCGCCCAGAATCCTGCAAAATGCAGCAAAAGCCTCTGGTAAGGGCGCTGCGAGGCATTTGAAGGGCGGCTACTGCCTAACGTCGCTTTCTGAAGCCACGAGACAAATTCTTGGAAAGCGCCCAGAATCCTGCAAAATGCAGCAAAAGCCTCTGGTAAGGGCGCTGCGAGGCATTTGGAGGGAGGCTACTGCCTAACGTCGCTTTCTGAAGCCACTAGAAAATTTCTTGGAAAGCGCCCAGAATCTTGCAAAATGCAGCAAAAGCCTCTGGTAAGGGCGCTGCGAGGCATTTGAAGGGAGGCTACTGCCTAACGTCGCTTTCTGAAGCCACTAGAAAAGTTCTTGGAAAGCGCTCAGAATCCTGCAAAATGCAGCGAAAGCCTCTGGTAAGGGCGCTGCGAGGCATTTGGAAGGGAGGCTACTGCCTAACGTCGCTTTCTGCAGCCACTAGAAAAGTTCTTGGAAAGCGCCCAGAATCCTCCAAAATGCAGCAAAAGCCTCTGGTAAGGGCGCTGCGAGGCATTTGAAGGGAGGCTACTGCCTAACGTCGCTTTCTGAAGCCACGAGACAAGTTCTTGGAAAGCGCCCAGAATCCTGCAAAATGCAGCAAAAGCCTCTGGTAAGGGCACTGCGAGGCATTTGGAGGGAGGCGACTGCCTAACGTCGCTTTCTGAAGCCACTAGAAAAGTTCTTGGAAAGCGCCCAGAATCCTGCAAAATGCAGCAAAAGCCTCTGGTAAGGGCGCTGCGAGGCATTTGAAGGGAGGCTACTGCCTAACGTCGCTTTCTGAAGCCACTAGAAAAGTTCTTGGAAAGCGCCCAGAATCCTGCAAAATGCAGCAAAAGCCTCTGGTAAGGGCGCTGCGAGGCATTTGGAGGGAGGCTACTGCCTAACGTCGCTTTCTGCAGACACTAGAAAAGTTCTTGGAAAGCGCCCAGAATCCTGCAAAATGCAGCAAAAGCCTCTGGCAAGGGCGCTGCGAGGCATTTGAAGGGCGGCTACTGCCTAACGTCGCTTTCTGAAGCCACGAGACAAATTCTTGGAAAGCGCCCAGAATCCTGCAAAATGCAGCAAAAGCCTCTGGTAAGGGCGCTGCGAGGCATTTAGAGGGAGGCTACTGCCTAACGTCGCTTTCTGCAGCCACTAGAAAAGTTCTTGGAAAGCGCCCAGAATCCTGCAAAATGCAGCAAAAGCCTCTGGCCGGCAGGTGGCCAAAGGCGCGTCGCGTTTAAGGGCAGCCTAGGGCACCGGGAAGGGTCATGCTGCTGGGCCGCCAAAGTCCCCGCAAAGCCACTTTTTCTCGGGCGCGCTCCCCCTGCAACTGGCTGGGGTCGGCGGATATCGCTGTACATGCCATTGTCAAATCACTAATTAAGTTATTGCTGCTAGATTACATTGCTATGTTGTTGATGTATCTTTTGCATGCATATTGTCATGCACATAGTATTGCATGGTTTTAAGTTTGTCATTTGTATTTGTGTCAGTCTAGTATTTTGTTGAATTAGTTTTTTCATGGTTCGTTTTCATGCGCAGTTTTGTGCCCATTATTTTATGTGTTTTTTTAATGCCTATGTGTTGTTGACTGTTAAGTTATCATATGTTCATTCATTTCATTCTACTTGTTAGGTGTTATCACGCATGTTACATGCCACTAGATTTATGTGTATATGTATTTTTTTGCAGTATGCGTATTTGTTAAAATTTGTTTGTTGTGCTTTATGTCCTATTGCGTAACGGGCGCAAACACGTCTTCATTGCCTCCACTGCACCCCAGGAAACTTGCAGACATCACCGCTGGCAAGGCGTTTGGGATTTTCTGATTATGTTTGCGATTGTTCTAAAAGATGTGACTGTTTGTGATTGGTATGACTTGGTACAAGTTTTGGACCGTAGGACCTTCACTGAATTTATATACACAGTTTTGGACGAAAACGCCGTGCAAAGCTAAGAACGAACTCTATTTTGGTTTGTTTAGGTCCTTAGGTGGCTGCGATATGCTCCAAATGCTGAAGTCACAAACCAGTGACTCACTTTGAAGTTTCACTCCAACTCCACGTTTTTCAGGAGTTTCCGTTTTTCTCACGCGCAGAAGTGGCAAAGAAGACAGGTCCGGAAGAGCTGCTTGGCCTCCGGACATTTCGTTACCAAAGTCCACAACATCCACCATATTTGTTATGCTCATGAAATGGAGGCAAGTTGCAGCACAGTTGCGGGGAAGCAGACATACGACTTTCAGATTGGCACTTTGCTACGCCTTCCTGAGGCCCCTCATGATCATCCACAATCGAGTCTATGATTTGCGGCCTCTGTTGGGAAACCACCCTGGAGGAGATGAGATTCTGACATCCAAGGCCTGCTCCTCAGTTGGTGCATTGCCAGCATTGCCAGCATTGCTGTAATGGATCCGCCATGATCCGCAGCCTCAAGGCTGGCACTGATTGCACCAAAGAGTTTGAAGTCTTTGAGCACTCAGAAAAAGCACGTGTTTCTCGGTATGGCTTGGCAAAATGCCTTGGGCAAAATGGATGGTTTGAAGCCCGGATTTTCTAGACCAAAATCTTCCAGTATCTACTGATAGATGTGTCCATTTCAGTCACCCTGTATCCATGAAGGCTTGCGGGAGGTTAGGGTGGTTAGGATGCCATGGCATGGTCATTGAGGTACGCCGAGACCAAGAGCTGTTGGTGGGTGATTTGCTGCCAGCGGAGCATTTGGACTGGGACGCTGAAGCCAAGGCTGAAGTCGCCTCTGGTGTGGATCAGGGCTCGGTTCCTGGGTTGATTTTTCATCAGATGCTGGAGAGCAGTGGGAATGACAGACATGAAAATAAACATAATAGACATGATGGATACATGATGGTAAACATTGGTAAACATTCACATTGTGAAACGACATCAGACGGTTCTGGACTTAAGTGTGCAAATAAAAAGAGTCAATGGACCCTTTGAGCCTTGAATCTGATCATATTTGATCAACAATGTTTTAACCAATTTGCGTGTCCACTGTGTGTTCACACGCAGTCACTACTAGTCACTCAGCTCCTCAGCGCCTGGAGTTGTTCTTGTTTGATCTCAGATCCGGTGCACATATGTTTGTATCAAGACACGTCGGCATTGCCTTCCTTTTCCTGTCCCGCACGCTGCACGCCTTTGAAGCGCCAAATTGGGCTACCTTAGGATTTGGCTCGATACATCAGATACAAAGCTTTTGATGCTATGAACCTTGGAAGCAGCTATGCAACAACTTCGCTGCATGTATGGAATGTATAGCATTGTATGGCCTCATGTTTCACAGATTGATCATGATCGCAGCCAAATATTCTGCTGGGGTTTGGTTACTTGTCAATGGAGCCCGGTCAGTTGCAGTTGCCATTGTTCAGGTCTTGCTGCCTCAAAGTCAGCATTCATGTATCTTTGCACTTGTTCGCATGCTTGTTTTCTTCGTGCAGTATTTCACACCAGCATCGCCGCATATTGATGCAGTGTCTTCTCCAAGGATAGTTTCTGCCACAGTCTACATCTATCGAACTTCGCATCATATGAAGCCACTGACGCTTGTCATGCCATCCGTTTGTGGCGTTTATTACTCAATGAATTTGCTGAGCCGGCTCTGAGAAGCATTGGGTTCATTGGATTGAACCTATACTGATCTATACTGTACATTTGCGACATGTTTGTCTCTGTGTGTGTAGTCTAACGTTTTAGACTATTTCAGGTTGTTTTTGAATGTTTTTGATATCTTTGCAAATGCTCCCAAACTTTACGCCGTAATCAGGGCATGCTTTACAGCTCAGCTTGTTTCTGCCTCTTAGATGTAGATCATTGGAATACATTGGAATCATGCAAACCGATATTTTGTTCACAGTGTCCAATAAACATATTCTACATTGCTCCTTTTCTTTTCTCAATGATATGCTTTTGGTTTCTGATGTGCTCAATTGTCGTATATAGTCCTACAGTACTACATTCCAATATGTTCAATATGCTGAAATGCTTTCTTGCCGTTTTTCTTTGAGACTGTTTCATTGGTTAAGTTGCTTTTCCTAATTCCTAAAACCTAAGATTCCTGATATCATCACCCAATGTAGTCCATTTGTAGCTCGCAGATATCAGACATTTGCATGTTTTCTTCATACCAGACGGTCAGCGAAGCTCTTGGACCCAGGTCCATGCTGACCTACAGCCGTGCTTTGCGTCACTTGCATTTGCTGATGGCAGTTGGTATCTTCGGGGCACTAGGCACAGCGCAGGCAGCTTCTTTCTCAGAAGGTCAAAACAAGAGGACTGGGCAGAAGAGAGATGAAGAGAGGCACAGAAGCGGTGCCAGGGTCTACCTTTGGAATCCGTTTGGGTTCGTATCAATTTGCTGAAAATGCATGCTTGTGATGACACAGACGGGCTCAAATGTGCCAGCTCGCAGGAAGCTGCTGATTCTTCACAAGCAGCTTGGGATTGGAAGCTTGGCCAAGCTGAGTCATAGTCAAGTCTTTCCGTGCAAACTGCCGTTCAAAGTTTATTTGTGCAGCGATGTGCAGCGTTTTGTGCATTTACCAGAAAAGTCATGCATTGGGAGCCTTTGACACCATGCATGCCATGCATGCCATGCCTGCCATGCATAAGCTCAGAGCAAGGAATGTTGGTTGGCCTTTTCGTTCGGGCTTTGGCGCGTTTGCGGTCGGGAATTCCACCGCGCTTTCCTGGAAACAGAGTCTGAACTGCACTGAGCGATGAATGTCAGCAAACTGGTGTGGAGTATGGGGTGGTTGCTGTGCGTGTGGTTTTAGTACAGTATTGCATGGTCATGTATTCCAGCATATTCCAGCTTGACATAGCTCAACCCTGTCAGCAACGCGCACAAGTTCAAACCATTTTACAAGGAAGTTGTGCAGATGTAGCAGTTGATGGACATTTTTGCCGTCAAGGAAATTAGCTCACGTCAATGATCAGCTTTGAGATCAATCAAAACAAGTGCGGCAACCTCATTGTATACAGTTTCGGATTCCTTGCGCATGATTTTGCAAGTAATGGGATGCAGTCAATCCACGATCAGTTGTAAATGCTTGTAATCTGAGTTTGTACCCGACTAAGAACTGGTGCAAATGATCGAGACGCAGAGCTTGCGCTTCTTCTATCTCCTCATGCTGGCGCTTCCTTTGACTGGTATGGCCAGCGAGTCTCTTGGCTCATCTAGGGTAATCAACTACGGGATGGACCTTCAAGCATTGACATAGCAACAGAAAATGACCACACTTGTGCTATCATGCTCACCTTCATATTTCCCTGTCACGCTGTCACATTTTAAGTCTTCTTTTGTCACGCAGTGTCTATACTTCTTTAACCCATGATTCAATGATGGTACGTTAGTTTCCCCATATCATTCCCAGACCCACCCACTGCCACATGACTGCCTTTTCCGTTTATTATAGTATACAGCGCATGGCGTGGGACCATGGCATTCTTTAACCGGAGGTACTACTTGAAGTGGGCCTCGTCCGAATCTCCAGAAGATGACAAGAAGAACGATCAGGCAGCGCAGAGCGCCATCTCCCTCCACAAGAGCTTGGGGAAGTTCTTTCAGTGCCTTGCCAAATGCATGCAACTTACGATCAGTCATTAGTTTTCCAATGTTTTTGGAGAAGAAACACCTGAGGTAACACCTATACAAATTGTTCATACTGTGCATAAGGTGCAAGGACTTGAACTAATTTGCCAATTTGGCGACAAGTACAGCCTTCAACAGCCATCGCCCAGGTACGCGTGGTTGCCGTTCCATTTGGGTTACACGACCCTGTACCATGCCTCGAAGGGGCGAGGCGTCATCAGAAAGGTGAGCCCTTTCATCTGAGACTGGAATGAGTGGAACGAGTGGAATGAGTGGAACCGGAACTGAGCCTGGTGGAACTGGTGGAACCTGAGGTGAGCAGCGATGTAGCTGAGCCTTCCAAAGTTTGCAAGTTGCCAGCACCATGGGAATCATCAAGAAACTTTGTGATTGCAAGCTATTACACGAAAAAATTGCTGGTGATACTAATTTCAAAAAAAACATGAAATTGCCTAGTAAATCTGTCCGGTCTTTTACTATCATGTGTTGTCATGTGTTTTCTATGTATTTTCTATGTAGCCGCTTGGGGTTCACACTGAAAAGGTATGGGCGCGCCTATAACTTTGTGCCAAGTGTTGGCTTCAAAGTGTCTCCAATGAGATCAGGATCCCGCGTGAATGTTGGTTTAAATATGTTTAAATACCTAGACCTTCCAAAGTTCAATAATTTCTGTACTTTTGGGCTTTTGGCCGCAAATGACCGCAAAAAACCGCAAATGCCGCAAATAGTTCAAATTGGACCAATCGTTCAGAAACACACTAGAACAACATGAAATTGCAAGAATGAAGCTGACTTGACGTATCTTGGCATGCTAGATGGGAGTTTCTGCATGTTGACAAACAAAGTGGACCTGCTTAGCAGACGGAAAGAAAAACAAATCTACCGGTTGGTGAAGATTGGTGAAGAATATGACAAAATAATTAAGTTGCTCAAAGAAGGCTTTGGTGCCACGCTAAAAGCAATCTTTGCTGGATGGGAGACACCAGACCGCTATAGCCATTGAATTGAAACAGCCTGTTTTTGTCTAATTTGTAAAAAAAAACAGAACGCCCATGTTTTTTTTGAAGAAATGCCTGCAGGAAGTTCCAAAACTGCTCTGAATTCAATAAAAATGTCGACAGTTTTCCCACAAAAAGTACGCAAATTTCCCGCAAAAATACGCAAATATCCGCAAAAGTACGCAAATCGGGATTTCTTAACTGCTGCGGTTCATGCATGTGACAAATCGCATCAAATCGCAGCTTGTTGGAATGAAAACTGTTATTTCTGCAAACTAAGCATGCTTCAAACTAAGTATTTTCAAATATAGCTTAGTATTCCTGCATGTTTGAGGCTTTGAATCTTTGCGGGCTCCAATCACCAACACAAACTCTGCAAATTTAGGAAAGCATGGACATTATCACCAGCAGTTCCAATCGGTACATTATGAGGGACCCATTGCGGCAAGATATTTTAACCACCCGTGCCATATCTAAGGTGGCAGTCAGAACTGCTGTAAAGAGTTCACTTTTTGTTGAAACCGTTTACATTTAAGATTAAACGTTTCAACCGGCCCAAAAATGCAGAAATCCCAATCGTACAGAATTTTCTGTACTTTGGAAGGTCCAGGTATGTTTAAATATGTTAAAATGGGGATGCCTTGCTCTGAAATTCTGGGGTCATTTTATCCCATTTTATCGACGAAAACACCTCGCAACCCTTTGCACACCACCATAGTTTATAGTTCGATAATATTTGTGGCATGTTTGATATATCTTTGAAAATGGAGCAGATAGCCACATAGCACCTAAACGAAACATTCACGGGGGATACTTCAGGCTGAAGGCTCTGAGGATGACGAGACATGGTCCTGAGATTGACAACAGTATTACGCATCCAGAAATATCCAGAACCAGTGGCAGTGTATCTGCCGCATGATATGCTATAGAATGTCCGCATGAAAAACAGCACGCACACGCACACACACACACCGTGTTCCCATTTGCAGTATTCACGCTGCTGTGTAACTTAATAGAATAGAGAAGGAACTGGAGGGCGCAGTGATTCAGCATAGTTAATATATAGGTTAATGATTACTATATATCTAGTATTATTTAGTACTGTGGTCATTTTACTTTGCAGCCTTCCATGTCATGTTTGTCATCTTCACCTGTTTCCATTTCAGCCGAAGCTCGATTCAATGTGCTTTGGTCAAGTTCGCGGCAATGCCTGCGCCGCTGCAGTGGCAGCTGACCAAGTCTGGCAGTGTCAGCAGCAACCGGCTGAAAGAGCCTGTGGGTTTAAGATGGTTTATATATGTTTATATAAGCTCTTTGGCAAATTGCCGGTTCATTCAGCGAATACCTTTCCACCAACGGATGTGGTAATGTATATAACACTTTACTCGTTTGATACTATTCTATCTCGATAGAAGATGTTCATTTACTCCATGAGGCTGGTCACTAGTTTGACCCAATAGTATAACACCATCTCAACTCAACAAGCTACTTGGCCGACTCAATCCAAAAGTGTCATTAATCACTCAACATATCTCAACGTGTTAACAGCTGAGCGCACCAGAACCAGAATAACGTGAGAGCTTACTGTAACCCATCAGGCAGCTGTGAGAAAGCTTCTGTTCAGGCAGGATTGCTGTATGGCTGCTTTGCTTCCTACGGCGGGTTCAGGAAGCGTCAAGGTATTGACGGAGCCTGGGAAACTTCGCCGGGAGAAAAGGACCGAAGGATCCGAAGGGTGTGGTACTCTTCCATGGGGGCGCTTTCCTCACAGGACATGCTAAGTTCAGCTGGGGGGACCAAAAAGATGTTAAAAAATATAGTGTGCGCATGTGTGCGCTGCAGGCACGTTTGTGAATGAAAATGGAAGCCAGGACTTCGACTGGAACAACAAAACATAACAAAAGTATAGAACCAAAGTTTAGGGATACTGTCATAAATTCAGCCATTCCATAATTATCTCAAACGCGCTTCATGAATTTTCATGATGCTTCATGCCAAGGAAACTTCGATTGTGGCGATGGACCTTGAATTTGCTGACATGGCCAATGGCTCAGGATGTGCAGCGAACACAAAGGCATGCAACCCCACAGCCCCACAGGATCCCCACAGGATCCCCACAGGATCCCCACAAGATCCCCACGGGCAGTGCCAGGATGTTTGAGGGTGCCATGCCAGCGGTGCTTGGTGCAGCTTTGCCGTGTGCTGTTGCTTGTCCGACCGTTGCAAACAATCGTGGAATCAGCCAACTGGTTGGGAAAAACTTACAGTATCACAAGAAGACTAAGAAGATGAGACTCCGTTTTTTAAGTGCCAAGGCTGCCAAGTGCCATGCCCAATGTTTGCCTTTTTGCCAGTTTGTCATAAGAACAGGCCGCATCTACATGTGCAATCTATATCATGACTGCTGCATACTGGTGTCTTAGGTTTTCAATGCATATCCCGAGTGCGGAAGCCATTCTGTCAGACTTCGAAGGCAAGAACTTCTTGAGGACTTTCTCCTGGGGTGCAACTGCAAAAGTTGCCTAGACTCACAAAGATTTTGGAGTGCGGCATTCAGTAAAGACTTGACAAGACTTGGCTGTCAGGACATGGCTGCAGCTTGCATTTCTGAGTTGAGTGGCGCTGCAATCCACGGGCGCCAAAAAACGCTCCGGCCTCCATTCGACAAATATTTCAGCCATTTTCAACCTATGCCCTTGACGGATCTTGTCGGAAAGCCAAACTGACCACAGAAGCAGAGCAGCGTTCAGTCCTCTGCCATGCCGCAGCTGGAGTCTCAAGGAAGATACAAACATTGTGCATCATTGTGCACCTGTCCAGGCGAATCCAATTTGTATTTTGGGTGAATAGTGGTAGGTACAGCTCTCCTCGAGAAAGATCTATAGACAGTGCTGTTCAAGCCAGCAGGATGGGGGACAGGCCATTTGCGCAGAGAAACAAACATCACTGCTGCCAGCCCACCTTCATACTCTGGACATCTCTGGACATTTCTAGACTCTAGAGACTCTAGACCAATTTTATGCAGTGTTATAGGACGTTATAGGTCATTGACATTGATCATTATTGCATGCTGCATGGCGCCAAGCCGTTTGTCATACGACCTTGCATCGTGTTTGCATGGCCAGCGCGGCCAGGTCGAAACTGTTCACAGTCATGCTGAAGTGATGTGTTTTTGGGTTTGTTGCCTGCACACTGAGAAGAACGTGAACTTTGGAGCCTGATCATTGGCAGCAAAATTTGCTGCAAGCGCAGGCTCATTCAAAAAATACAGTCAACTTGGCGTGAGGCAAGGTGATTTTTTTAAAGCCACCTTTTGGTTGTTTGGTGGCTAGCCAAATGCCAATGCTTGACATACAGTGACACAGTCTTGGTTGTTTTGTTTGTTGACATACAGTTTGTGCGAAAATGTTTCCCGTGCCAACTTGAAGCATGAATCTTGAAGGGTAGCTTTGATATGTTCACAAGTGTTGGGCGCTTCCGTTCCAACTTAGATTCTGCCATGCGGATCCACACGGGTGATTCCCAGCGAGAGATAGGGAGAGACATGTGATTCTTCATGATACGTGGAAACGTTGAAAGCCTGTGTGTATGTGTGTGTGTGTGTCATTTGTATGCATTTGTAGGTGGAAATCACGCCTTGCCCCAGTCCTGTGGTGTTGAAGCCTTACCCTCCCAGAGTGAGTGACTCATGAGTTTTTCAGCCCGTTTGTCGACCGAATCTCTGTGCTACTGTGCTGATTTCGTCCGAAACTTCAGTCCACACTGAAGGTGGAGCAGGAGTGGCTGGCCTACGAAATTGGTTCGGAACCTCAGAGTTGGACGACAACGCATCAACTGCAGTCGGTCGCAACAAGCTGCAGCCCAATGGCCAGTAATTATTGCCAATGCAGATGGATGCTGAGGGGACACCACATTATGGGTTCATTTCATGAACACCAGTGAGAGAGAGAGAGGGAATGTTTCTAAGGTGCAAGGTCTTTTAAGATGCAAGGATATGCAAGGTTCGCGGACTACGCATTCACAAAAGCAACCATTCACAAGAAACGGCGCACAGTTTGCAAGGCACCACTGCCACATACTGTAATGTTGGTCAGCGCTGTCCTTTTATTTTTGTCGCCGCATTTCCGCAAAGTTTGTGTTGTTCGGAAAATCACAGTGGTGCTGCCTTTCTCCCAGTCAATCTTTATTTTGCTCTAGCTCTCAAAGTGTTTTACAGAGGTTGGGCATGGGAAAGAAAGCGTTCAGAACTTAGAACCCAGCCCGCTTTGGCCTTGAATTTTGATGGTGCATTTCCCTTGGAGGTTTGCCACAGGCCATCACAGGCCTAAACAAATTCAACTCAAAGATACAAGAACTGGCCTAAACTTGCCATCAATTAGCAATCAATCACCAGCGCCCCGGACTTCATGACAGGTCACCCCAGCGTTTCCCTGGAAGATCAAATCCTGGAAGTGTTTTGCTGCCAAGGTCCAAAGTAGATGCTTCAGTGGCACGTGCCAAGGCATTGTGCAGCTTCAACTGCAGCATCAGCTGCAGCGGAATGAGCAGCGAGTAGCGTTAACATTGCCCATGATACACCGGGGCAGCATCATTGGTTCAGGGAAAGACTTCAAATCATTTGGAGAAGATGCGAACTATTTGTGGTTGTTCCGTCGGTTTGTGCTTTGTGGGCATGAGCTAGCCGGCAGCTGAAGAAGACGTGTGTTGCTTACTGTAAAATGAGCTTCAAACACTCTAGCCTGCGGTTCAGGCAACAAGCTTACAAGATTTCGCTTCCGCGGTATCGATGCCTGGACAAAAGCTAGGAGGGACATGTAGAGACAGCTTCACCTGCAAACTGCTGAAGATCTAGTTGCGAATGCCATGATTTGTTCCAGTGCGATGCATCAGCTTTCCAGATCCAAGATTTGTTGCCTCAATTTCTTCTGAGCCGCTGGTTCTCCATTCAAAGCTCTGCCCTGGGCCGCATTTGAGGAAACAGCTGGCACAAAAGCAGCGGCTAGTCCGTACCTTCGATGTTGGTGGCACCGGCGTCAAAACCGCTGCTAAGTGGAAACTTGGGAGTGGCCAAACCCAAACCAAGATGATATGATGCCACTAGATGCCAATAGGACAATAAGCAGAGATCAGTCCTGTTGATGGCTCTTGGATTCAAGGCTCTCTTTGCTGCATCGAGTCTGAAAAGCCTGATGGATGCGGCTGCAGCAAGCGAAGGTGCAAGACTGCCGCAGTTGCAGCTCCTTTTCCGCTGCTTTGTTTTCCATTAATTTCCATTGGCATGTGCAAGTGAAAGTAGAGCCCAGGATAGGCGAATGGATGGAGGTATGCGAGATCATAAGATATCTATGAAGATTATGAGGATGGTGCTGAGAAGATCTGAGAAGCATTTTCCTGCCAGATGGTGCTGCAATCCCTGCCGCATTTCGGATGCCAGGTGAATCTCCGGAGCTGGAGTGGATCGAACCTCCAACACAGCTGGGAATGGTGCGACCATATGCGTGGAGCAGATGATGCAGAAAGATCAAAAGTTGAGAGATGTTGAATTCATTCAATGATGTTGAGAGGTCCTGCAAGGTGTTGAGATTTGCCTCTGCAGGCACCGGGCGAAGAGGGCTTTGATGCCTGGTTGGCTGCAGCCCTTCCCAAGTTGCAAAATGAGAAGGCTGGCTGATGCCGGCCCACTTGGGCATGAGTGTGAAGGTCATGTCCGGATCATTCACCCAATATCAATCAATATCAGATATATCATATATCAGCCAGAATCAGCAAGTTTTCCAACAACATCTTACACATTTCAAAGTGCCTTGAAGCAACTCATTTCTTTCCAAATGTGGCAGGCCAATGGGCAGGTCGTTTTTGGCGTCTCCACTGCAGGGGACATTGAACATGCCACTGGTGTCTTACATGTCTGGCTCCCCAACACTGCCCACAGATATTCACCTGAAAGCAGCATAACGGGGCTATTACTGGAAGTTATTGGTTGTTGATGCTTGTTGTGTATCAGCATATTCATATACAATATATATATATATATACAAAATGATTGTGTGTGTATTTGTCTATTGTTGCTGTTTGTCAGGTAAAGATATGCAGCTGAAGCTGTGTGAGACATAGTTCAGCTATGCTCATCTGAGAGTTGAGAGCTGCCACCAAGGACTGGTGGTGTGTGGGCGGGCATCCACTGCAATGGGAGGGACGTCCTGATCCTCACGTGGCAGATCTAATGGGATTGCCACGTCCATAGCTCAGCTGGTGAAATGCCGCATCCAAGACGTGCCATTTTCAGATTAGATTAGAATAAGAATAATTATAATAGTAAGAAGAATATACATTATATTATATATTTCTTATATGTGTAATGTATATTATTTTATGCGAATGGATTGAGTTATGTAGTGAACAGACCAATGCACATTTATGTGTTTTTTTTCTGTGTGTGTGTTGTGCTGTCCATACTTTTTGATGTGAGTTCCCGTTCCAGGCGATCGGACATTCATTCTCCATGATGGTTCAGCACATCTGCCAGGGCCATAGAGGTAGATTCGATGGATACAGTTGTTTTGGACTTTCGAGCAGGGGCCAAAAGTCATGAGAAATCACCACAACCAATGGGACCAAAGGCATAGAATTACAGAACGTGTTTAACGAAAGATCTTGAGGACCAGTGAGAGCAGATGAAAGCAGTGCAGACTATTCGAATCATTTGACCAACGCGGGTGGCGTGTCGTTGTGTGCCCTGAGTTTGGGATGCTCTCGAAGTATTGTTCCACCACCGCAGCTGGCGTGCTTTTCAGTTTGCCTCCCAGTTCAACGATCTTCCGGACGCTGAATTCAGTGAAGTACAATGTCCACCAAGTCACTGTTTTCTGGTCGGTCCCGTTTATGTTATATGTTCCTAGGCTGGCACCGGTGTTGGATTTGGAATCTCGGATGAGGACGGTCTGCAAAACCTTGAATCCTGCATCCTTTCAAGACGGGGTCGGGCGCACTGCAGAGACAGGGACTGCTGAGCAGATTGCAGGAAGGAGCGGCGGTGGATCCATCTTCTCCAGTAGGTGTGGCCCCGTGGCCATCAGATCCTGTTCCAAGCTGTACCAAGTTTTAAAATTTCTCAAACCTACAGTAGATGATTTTCGTTGACAACCTACTGACACTGACCTACGGGGTCGTTTCGGCGGCCATCGCCGCCTTGGGAACTGCAGTTAAGTGACAGGTGCTCGAAGCCACAACCTCAATGGAGTGCCTGTCTCTGGTGCCAGGCCCGTCAGCTGGTGGCCAGACGGTATTCATGTAAGTAGGTTGCCTGGCAATTTCATGTGTTCAATTTTTAACCTGACCTCTCTTATCCCTTCCTGGCTGTTTTCTGCCCTGCTCAGTTACCGTGGCATTTGGCGCGATTGGGTCTCGGCCACGGATCATGTGGACGATGTTGAGAAGGTGATGCTCAAGGAGTTTGCCACTATGGCAAGGCCTTGGAGTATGCCATGGGCCTCTTCCTCAGTCTCAATGATGTCGGTATGTTAGGCCAAGTGCATCAGCAAAGGGAAGTGTCTCAACATGTATTTATGGTATATGTATGTAAGTATATGATAATGTGTTGATATAACGGATGCCAGTGATAAAAAGTCCGGTCACAAATTCGCAAGTCCTTTTTGGTCCAGTCGTCAAAGTGGCCAGGGTCTAGTCCTCACTGGGTTCCACCATTCTGATCCATTCCGCAGGTGAGTTTGGTCTTGGGCCGCCGGGGCATGGAACTCGCTGAAGCAGCCTTTGGACAGGGCCCTAGTTGCTCAAAGTTTCACAATGGTGAAACGTTTCACCAAACCCATTCTGATGCATTCCGTTTTGTCAGTCAGGTTGTCCTCCTCCAGAACATTCAGATGAAGACGGAGCAGGTGTGGAAATGGCAGTAATATGATGTAATATGAAGGCGCTAGAGGTGTGATTGCGCAAGTCAGCTACTTTATGTTTTGGGCGAGCCACCGGCCAGGAGTCAGCAATGCTTTAGTGTGGAGATCCCAGGGCCCATGGCATGTGTTTTTGCCGTAATATCTTGCCCTTTGCCAGTTTACAGTTTACTGTGGATTCCTTCTGCCTACACCAGGCGGGTGGCTGCCTCACAAGCCTATGCCAAACAGCCAGGAAAACCCAGCACATCCCAGCTGGCACGTGACTGTGAGTCCAGTATGACGGCTGAGGTGGCAGCATTTCATTCACACCCAGTCAGTGCCCTGAGCGGTGGGACTGAAGGCATGTACAATCATGTAAATGTATGTCTCATGCTTCATTAGCACGAGGATGCCAGGGGGTTCCTCAGTGGTGCTGAGGTTTGTACCCCAATTCTGCAGCGTCCGACGACACCAGGTGCAAATACCGCACGCAGCTTTCACACCCAATGAGTACCGGGCAACTGGGCACAGGGCAATACAGAGCTTTTTTGTTGGCAACTGCGATGGCCGAGCTTTTGATGCCTCGGAAGGTCAGGCGCATTTGTTTTGCTGGCGCAGTGGCGACATCAAATTGGCCTAGCATGCAGGAGGCAGGATGGCAGGATGATCCTTTGCATTGATCCAAAAAGGTGCAACAAGACCTGCATGAGTCCTGTCAGGTGCTTGTTAGCCCCTCTGGAGCTTGGATCTTGGATAATTTAACTATATATCTTTTCCGCTGCACAAAGTGCTGCAAGAGAATGAGAAAGAAACCCAGGGGACTGCAACATGAGATATTTGGAAATGTGTCACTTCGAGTTGAAGTCGAGTTGCTATAGACACTTGTTTGCTTTGTTTTGGCTCAAACTCAGGCAATAGGGACCGCCAATAGCTTTTGAAAGTGAAGACAAAAGCGCAGCCATGGGTGAGTTCACAGTTCGCACCCGAAAGTTCCTGAACAACCCCTTGCTGGGCCGCAAGCAGTTCGTCTTGGATGTGATCCATCCGGGCATGGCCAACGTCTCCAAGAAGGACTTGGCTGAGAAGCTGCGCAGCATGTACAAGGTCCATGACGTCCAGTGCATCCAACTCTTCAGCTTCAAAACAGCTTTTGGAGGTGGACGCAGCAGTGGTTTCGGCCTGATCTATGAGAACCTGGAGAAGCTGAAGAAGTTTGAGCCCAAGTATCGTTTGAAGCGCACTGGCTTGGGAGGTGAGAAGAAGGGACCTGGACGACGTGCCAAGAAGGACACCAAGAATCGTATGAAGAAGGCCCGAGGGAAAGAGAAGGCCAAGGCCGGCGCCAAGAAGTGAGCCATGTGAGCTTTTTACGAAGCCATCCAAACGGCAGTCAGAACGGCTGGATCCCTGTGAAAAAAGATGCGGTCGAGTGGTCTTTCTTTGGCGCATTAACGTGCACTGCAAATCTTCCGCTGCCAGCATTTCCTGTAAGTTGCAGCACGTTCATGAATGTAAATCATTGTAAATCCACCCCGGCCCAAGTTTGCCCTTTGCCCAAGGAACTTGTGTGTCCTGAGGGTTGGGAGCTCAGTGCTACGTCCATGCTGAAGACGTTGAAGTTGCAGACTTGCATTGGACGGGAACATGATGGAACATGATGGAACATGATGGAACATGTATTTTCAGATGAGCATTCCAACGCAAACATCCAGATGGATTCAAGAGGGTATAGCCGGACTTCCTGCAAGGATCTGACAGTCTCAAGATGATTTTGGTTCTAGTTCACAACAACAAATATGATCTTCAGGAGTCGAAGATACTGCATCCACCAAGAAGCTGAGAGCTGAGACGCACGCGTCGATTGTGCTATGAAGTCAGGAGTTGGAGTCAGGATGTTTTTTCTGCAGAGGTTTTACCATGTTTGACCCATGTGAACCGCCAACAGTATCCAACAGTGTTTGTGCCCAATGCCTTGGAATCTTTCAGCCAGAGCTGATGTGTTCATTCATTGGACAGGCGTGGCCGCAGTGGCAAGAAGACCAATCAGGAGTCGTGGTGAATTGCATCGTTGAAACATGTGTTTCTGGGAGACTTGGCATTCTTTGGTCCATTTGGATCCGGTACCATGAGTATTTCTGAGGGCTCTTGCCAGTCTCGACTGTGATACTGGATGATACTGTGCATACATTTCGAGTTCTTGTGTTTGGGAAGGCGCCCCAAGCTCTGAGTGTGACAGAACTCAGTCCATGTGATGCCTTGCAGTGAAGTTTTGATCGCTTGAATTCTTATGATTCTTAATATGCTCCACCAGTTTGATTTACGTTCCATTGGCGATTGGAAAAACTGAGAAGGATTGGTCTGGATAGGTATGGACAGACGAAATGGCCTGGCACTGTGAGGCTGCATACGCGTCTAGTCTTGGAACGATCATGTGCAGCATTCATGGATGATATGGATGTAACGTGTTGATCTCTATGCAATGCTGCAATGATTTGCAATGCCTAGTAATGCATGTAGGTTCTGTGGGTTTTCCATGGTTTTCCTGATCGTTGTCCGGAGTCCCTCGGAGTGACTTGGAATCCCTTGGCTAAGGTCTTACCATTGGCTCCTCAGGGCTCAGCCCTTATCGGAGCAGGGATCTATGCTTTGGCAGGCAGTGCAGGACTGGACATTGCATACACTGCATGCTGTAGCTAAGGCAGCATACATAGAGCGAATGGCGAATGCATTTAGAATACCACCACTGTCACCAAGCATTTGGAACATTTGGAACTGACTCAGCTGTTTGGTGTTCTTCATTTTCATGTCAGACTTTCTGCCCTTGGCCTTAGCAATTCTTTTGCTATATTTCTGATGGTTTCGGGTAGAACGACCGCCAGGAGCTGAAATGGGCTTGTGGGCAAAGTGACCAACCTCTGCCTGTCAAAGAAAAGCCTGGAAGACCGGGTGGCACGCCATGGCACGCCCTTTTCGCCATATCTGAAGTTGTCCCTTTTCAATCACTGCCTGGTATGGCATGACCAATTGAAACGATGTCAGTTTGACCTTTTCTGCCTGTGGCACGGCATGGATCAGGAGGGCAAAAACATTTCTACCATTTCTACAGCCGGGGCACGACTTCTTCTATGGCATAGGTGCATACGTCCTGCAGTTCTTGAGCCAAGCCTATGCGAAAAATCCTAAGTCCTAGCCAGGTAAAAAGTCTTTTAAATGAGTTGCTAGCACGTGTTTAATTAAATCTTTTAATTACATATTAGGACCGGTATAGGCCCGACCTGCAATCTGCAGAGAATGAGGCAATGGAGACATTGCTCATTGACCAGGTAAAGGATGGTAAAGGTATGCAAAGGTAATCTTTACTTTTTCAATTTGCCGGGCGTCTCTACGCAAATTCAAGCAAAACCAACCAACGCTCACTGTAACCCTGTTTGACTTACCATTTGGACCCCTTGGCCGAGTCCAAGATTAGAGTGTCCATCTTCGCATTGACAGCAGCTCTTACCAACCCAACACCATACCAACAAGTTCAGAAAACTCATCAGGGACCTCAGTGGATATTGTCCTTTGCTTCCATTTGCCATGGCACCAGAGCTGGAATCTTGACACAATGGAGGCTGTGCTGTGGCGGAGCTGTGCCTTTCTCGTCAATATTTGCAAACATGTTGCCATCATTTGACATCTTACTGATGTTCCTGAAGGGGAGGCTGCAATGATCAATCCTGGTTCATGTAACCCGAAGTTGTCAAAAATAACTCCCTTCCTTTTTTGCAGCAAATAGATTGACATAGATGTGCTAGATGCAGGTTTCCCCGAGCCCAGCTTCAAGCAGTGGCCAGCAGAGGCAGCGGTTTTGGGGTGAGAGCCCAGACCCCACAGCACCTTGCAGTGGCTCAGGCTCTCACAATCATATTTATCAACATTATCATATATTTCTCGAGTTATTCAAAGCATGCTTCTTCCTGGCAAATACATTCTATTCCGAACCTGGTCTTGAAGTGCATGAGGAATCCCTTTGGCACACACGGTGCAGAGGTGGCAGGGTCAAAATCATCATCAGGAAAGTTTTTTCCATTTGGGCAAACAAGCCATGCCAACCTCCTGCAGGTCAATGCAAACCTCCCGGCCCGAGTCTTTTCTGCTGATTTTCAATGTGAGAGCCCGAGTTTGATCAAGGACAGCTGGGCTTGTTGATACCATTCTCTCTCTCTCTCTCTCTCTCTCTGATTCTTTATGTTTTGACAGGAAAAACGGCCGAGATGACGTTGAGCCATTGCCATGTAGTCATATAGTTGGTCACGTCCCCTTAATCCTGATTGTTGCATTTCTTATCCCGTCGGCCTCAGACCTTCAACAGGTTTAGAAACCTTCCGCGGCTACTGCACAGTCAGGAAATGAGATGAAATGAGATTGCAGAATAATAGCCTGCAATATGCCACCCGAAATTATGGGACCCCACCAAATGCCAAAGCATGTCCAAGAGGCAAAATCGGGAATTCAGAGCACGAACTTCGCAAAATCCTACCTGCACGTTTTGCTGGACTTCATCATATTACCGGGTCTCGCGTCCCTACTCAAAGTGCAGTTTGATCCATGCTGGTGGCCAACGTACAATGTTTTTGGGGTGATTGTTGGCAGGTATGGTCAGAGTGGAAGTTGGTGATGTACATCACCAGGACTGGTTTGGACCTGCGTTCGCGTGTCTAAGGTCAGCAAGAAGCAGAATTTTGGCCGCTCAGCTGAGTGGCTCTGTGGGATGCGATCTTCAAACGCACAATCGCAGTGCAAAATCGATACAATGTCCCAGATTTACTACAACTCCAAGATGTTTTGGACCACCAAAAAGGAAACGCGTCATTTCGTTTCCAAAATGGTTCTCATGTTTTTGGTTTGGGAGACCATTACTATATATAAATTGTTTAAAGTCCAGTTAACCGGTTCTGACTGCAGTTCACCCTTTGGCTGTTAGCTGTGCCCAGACAACCAGGCACTTTGCTTCGATCGGCATGCGCCTTTGGTGTGTCTGAGGCGCTTGGAAGCAGTGCAGGTGGCACACGGTCCTTCATGGTCCTTTAATAACCACGATCTCAAAATATCTAAAATCTAAAAATATGAGAGATCTCAAAAATCGTTCAAAGGTGATTTGCCAATACGAACCTGGCAGGTCTTGGTTGTTGGCGCGAAAAAAATTGCGTGCGGCCCTGAGAGCTGCGGTTCGGAGCAGCGGGATTGCTTCAGCCTTTTTGGCTGATTGTTTGATTGGGAATCCCATAGGCCAAGTTCCTCCATGATATTTTTTCTGCACACCAGTAAGATGACACCAGGATAATTACCAGCCCCAATGTCCTCCACTCACCTCTCATTCATGCCCTATCCTTGTCCTGAAACGGATTAGTATTCACCTGATCGCCGAGGACCTTTGGAAATCAAGGTACAATGGCACACGCCGGATGGCCAAACTTGGGATCAATTGTTCATCTGGTACAAATTGGAAACCTTCCAGATGTTGGGAGATGCTAAGGCCAATGTCCGGCACTTCGAAACACTTCAGGCCCGGCATATATATATATAATTATATATATATTATATTATATCATATTATATATATAATCATAATAATTATGTTGATATATGATTTAATTGTTGGAATGGAGAAGCTGGAGACCGCACAGCCACACACATGTGCGCTGGGACAAAGTGTGAATGACCAACAGATCTTGGGTTCAAACAGCATTGAAGGCAAAGTTGCCAAAAGATGCCAGAAGGACATTAGCCATGGACTCTTTATTTTTATTTTTTATGTTGTCTCTTTGGGGCCCCGGAATGCTTTCAATTCTATGAGGCAGTTCAATCTTTCAAGATGTTCAAGGCTGCATTGGATCAAAAAATCATCATCAAGACATATCAATACCGTTTGCAGCTCTCCACAGTCTCTCCACCATGAAGTGCCTGAACCTACAAACTTGGATGTCGTGCTGTCGTCGCTTGAAGACTTTTGGTCAGGCGGCCAAAGCTGAGCTTGCCGCAAGAGGTCGGGGATTGCCACTGAGTCAGCAATTGCGCCATTTTGCGGCCAACACGTTCTTTTCCGAAGCAGTTTGCATGTGCAACGCATGAAACCATGAAACAAACTTGAACAAAGTGCAGAGCTTGTCACTGATAGCCTGATAGCCTGTTAGTTCCACCATTGTTTTGACAAAGAACCCAGAAAAGCCATGGAAGCATGCCCGGACACCTTTGCTGAGCAGAAAAAGCGATTCTTTTTTATTGTGGAGAATTTTTGGAGGAGCTCGAATTTGCGGCATCGAAATTGATGACACCGCGCAAGCTGTGAGGACCTAAGCAAGCTGTAGATTGTGAGGACGGTCGCCAGGATTCCAATTTCTAATTTGGGGTTGCATCTTGCACCCAAGTCAATAGAATTTCCACCAACACCAGACACATTGAATTTCCTTTCTGAGATATTCTATATAATTTCAAGACCTGAAGAATCCTGAAGGTCTTGTGGCTTTTAGAATAGATTTCTGTGCTGAGAGCCGACTTTCCACCTTTTTCCCCTCTCAGACCTCTTGGATAAGTCCCACCATGTCCCACCCAGACTGTGGTGACTTGGGGATCAGGTCACACAGCATCCCTTCACCGGTTCCACGGCCTTTATGCTGGGTAACGAAGGTGTGTAAGAAAGCTGCGATTTTGCTGAATGCATGAACGGCCCACGGCAAGTTTCTGAGAAGATAAGTATATGATATAAGATAGATAGTACTATAACTAATACTTTAAGTACTTTGGAGTTGTTCAAATACAAATAAATTCTGTAAATGTTTGGCATACAATTCTTTCCCTTGGCAGCGCGCTTTTCACAGGTGAAGGCATGTCGCAGGCGCAACGAGAAGCTTGTGATTTCTTCGTCTACATCCCACAGCACACAGGCGATGTGCCCAATGGATTTTCATTTCGACTCATGGCATTGCACTTTTCGGGGCACACCAGGGCAGCTGACCCCTGTGCCAAAAGCAGCCACGCCAGGAGCCACAGCCTCGCTGAATGTGGCCATCGCAGGCTCAATTGTTGTCAGCTCAGGTGGGCTCATCACAACGGTAAAATGTGTTAACATATTTTGGTAAAATATGTTAAAATGCAACACCACCTCCAACCAATATCTTCAGGTCCGTCACGCACAGTCACCACAAAATACCACAAAGTGAGGATGCGGAGCTAATATGCAAGTGATGTAGCAGACAAGAAAACATCTCGGACCATCACGTTTTGCGACTTGCCACGGCTTTGAGCTCCAAGGTTTTACATCATTTTGCCACCTGGGCTGGTATGCCAGAACATCCCAGGCTGGACACCGCTGGGACAACCATGTTGGATTTGCATCATTTGCTGCTCGCTGCAGGAACGGTGAGAAGTTTGTCCTGGAGTTCGGCGCCCTGGGTTGGGAGAAGACATGAGACAGCAAGCCAGCCGCATACTCCCAGAACTGCAATCTAGGTTGGAAACATTTGGAAACGTTGAGAGATAGGCAGTGTCTCGTGAACCTCGTGCTGAGTCCAACCAGAAGCTCCTTGGAAAAGTTCCAAAATCCAACAGAGGCATCGGAACTGCTGGGGACGTTGGTGGATGTTGGTGGCTGATGGTGGTTGGGTATTCAGACTTCAACTATCTTCAACTGGACAGGATGTTTGTTTGTGCACATTGTCAACAGGATGAGGCAAGACAAGTCTGCATTTGTCGGAGCTCAGGCAGAAAGAGAAGAAATGGAACGAAAGCGAACAGAACGAGCAAAGCGTAGAAAGGAATGTCAGGAGAAGCTGGTCGTGCCACATCCAATGCATGCTCGCCTAAGCCATGCTTTGGTGGTGGCAAGAGCCATAATCCCTTCATGGTTACATGGTTTGCTTCCTCGAGGGTGGGTGAGGAGGAGAGTTTTCTGTGGGCTAGTGATGCTAAGACCGCTACCAGTTTAGTTCCACGTTATTCCATGTTCATGGTCAGAGTGCAGCATGCCAAGTCAGAGGAGCCAGAAGAAGATGATCTTCCGGCGGCTGATGACTAGCAAATCGATGGCACAAAACCAGCGAGTTCTTTCATTTTAAGACTGTGCAAGAAGTGCTACCATGCACAAAATGCTAGACAGGGTCATGCCAGGTTTGGTGCTTGAAGATGGGCATGATGTGTATGTTATATATTTGTTATATTATGTTTTGCCAAGATTGGCCAAGTCATAGCAACATTGATCATTTGCAATTTCACTTATTATAGACTAAACTTTGACATGTTTGGATAGTCTCCGCGTGTGTGTGTGTGTGGGTGGGTGGGTGTGTGTGTGTGTGTGGGAGGCTGACAAGCGAGAAGATGAATACACTTCAGACATATCATGACATATCTATGATGAAAGCAGCTGTCCGGAGCCCTTCGGGCTCGAAGAAGTTGTTTGGTTTATCCGATCCAAAAATTGTTTGCACATATTTGCGTTATTCATAACCATGAGCTCATGGAGGACTGGTGCGAACGAGAAGGGTCCATTGGCTCCATCCAATTGCGTCATGGTGTTTTTTTCAGGGACAAAATTGCAGCTGCTCCGACATCAGTTATATATTCAAATGTGACCGTTAAAATTGACGCTTTCTTAACTTCACCTCATTGGCAAATCTGTAGTTTCCTCATGTTTCAACAATTTCCTCGTGTTTCCTCCACAGGAGCACTCGAAGGAAGGCAGTGTTTCTCCTACATCTCTTGATTTGGTCAGATCATGGAGTTTCAGCCATTCGTGATGCACACATGAATGAGGTCGATGGGCAGCAAGCAGCCTTTTGCTGCCTTGAGATGACCTGCAAAAAGCATTAAAGGTGTTCTATGATGTTCTACGGTTTTTATCTTCATAGTTTAATAGCAGTCCCATGATAGACATACTCCAGCACAAACTGGTGTGCTTTTGTGAGCTTTTTGCATTTTGTGGGACTGTTTTTCAAACCCTACTTCAAAACAGGGAGCGATATGGTCCAAGTATACCATGCGATGAAGAATGCACGGTGCTGAACTCCATGACAGATGTGCTGGTAATCATAGATAGTCATCAGAATATTCCAAAACCCGGTCAAGATGACAACAGTGAGCATAACGGTTGTGACAGGCTTTTTCGAATCTGGACTTCGACGCGGATCAAGAAGACTCCGCAGCTCGCCTGGCAGAAAACCCTTTTTGAAATTCGCTGATTTGGTGGTTCGTTTTGCTTCCTATTCATATTCCCTCCTCAGCCTGTCAGCTGTCTCTATTCGAATCTTGGTCGCGCATGAGTGAGGGCTCCAAGATGTTCTTGCATTTATATAATATATGTAACAGTACTAGTATATGTAGTGTGTGTGTGTGTGCTAAAGTGACTCCTTGGGCTATCAATCAGAATATATTATATAATAATATATATATTATATATATAATGTAATATATAATATATTTAATATATATAATATTATATATATATATATTATATTTATATTCTATTATATTTATATTATGTTATATTATATTATATTATACATGTATATTATATTGTGTATATATAAATATATCAGAACGCTAATCTGTCAAGTGTTGACATAAATCAGACTTCAAGCGTGGGCCAAGCCTAGCAATGACAAAATCTCAGGCACAAGATGATGCCGAGCTTGATGATTTCGGAGTGGTGCTTTGGGCTGCAATACTTGATGCGTGCGGGCAAGAGACAGGAATACGACCTCTGCTGTGAATTCCGGGTCTATCCGGGTCTGAACTTGATGTGGATTGTTGTGGGTTCTGTTTGAGCCATTTCAAGCGTCCACGACAGTCCAGATTTTGAATGTCAGCATAACTAAATATAATTAAGAGATTTAGACGCTTTTGGGGATACAGGAACACTCTCAGATATTCCGCAGCTTGTGTTATCTCATCTTATCTTGTTGGTTGTGATGCTTTTGACATGGCGGTTGGATTTGAGGACTTCAGAATCTCCAGCGGGTCACTGCTGGAAACGAGCATTGCAACTCGTTTGCATAATCCCCGCTGGAAGTTTGGCGGTTCATCATTTCAAGAAACATTGGCTGCTTGGGGGGTCAAACAGGTCCTAATTGGGAAAGAGAAGAACACTGGACTGGACTTGGCCTTTTCACCCCGTTTCTCCTTGTCAACATTGCATTGCCTTTGCTCGAGTTAACTTCACATTCGGATCAATTGCCAAATATAGTGGGATACAGTATACGCCTCTGTGACTTTGGCCGCCCTAAATCGTCTATAATCTTCTCTCCTGGTTGCTGCTTAAACGTAGGCTGGCGCAGCCCTGCTGACCGCAGAAGTTGCTGTAAGCTCTTCGGAGATGGTTGCAAGGAGCCTATCGGCTAGTATCGACAGTGGCAGGGCTCCAGAAGACATGTCGGCCATCTCAGGGCCATCTCATGGATATATGATATCGTATCGTTGAATCAATCTGATGAGTTTGACACACATGTTTGCGTGGTTGCATGTCCTGGGCTGGTGAGCAGGACGCGAATGAATGTGGCCATCAGTGGCCTTGTTGCGAGCACCAAAGAAATTACGCGCCTACTGTAACTTGGACAGCTGGAAGATGTTAGAAGTTGGAAAAGTGAAACTTCGACATATCGTTTTCTACGCCTCCTCCAGTTACCTTGTTTCAGACCGAAACTTGATGTAATCGCCCCTTATCGTGCTCCAAGCACTACACTTGGAAGAGAAATCAGAAGACCATGATTTATATTATATAAATTATAAACCTCCGACGCGCGCATGAGAACTTGGGAAGGCTCCAGTGGCCTTTCAAATCTCAGGAAGGATGAGGCCACGGAAGTGCTCAATCTACTGGAAGAGACCGAGGAGAGCAGCGTCCAGTTGCAACTGTGTTATCCAAGATATTGAAGCCAAGACTCTGTCTGTAGAGTGCTTCAGGCACCATGCCATGAATCTAACCGCTGAACTATCTTACCTGGGACAGGCGGACAGAAAGCGGTGGCACGTGTCATAGTCCTGACTTACAATGACTTACAGCACACAGCGTTGAATGAAATCACCTCCCAGATTCCAAGATCCAGGAATTTCATGAAATTTCCGGGTTGTTAGGTTCATGGAGCACGGCAGGCAAAATGCATTTCATACCCCAGTCAAGTTCCTTCGCAGGCAGCAAGTTCAGATTACAATCGAACTCCGACAGATCAGAAGGTGGGCAGCCTATCGGATGGTCAGGAATGATTTTTTTCGATTTTTTGGGGCATTCACCATCATTTAATACCTACTAGTACCTGTCCCGAGAATCCTCCAAACCATCCAATCCAAAGCTTCGATGTTTGTTATGTTCCTGCTGATGGCAGTGAATGTGAGGGTGAGATGGTGAGTTATAGATGTTATAGTGAGTTGATGTGTGGGTGTGTGTGTGTGTGCTTGTGTACTTTTGAATGTGCAGCAGGAAATCTGCACAGACGGAGACATTTGCCAAGAGTAGTATGCAAGGGTTGCCTCACGTTCTTTGACCTTTCAAGTGGTGCCGAGGTCATTGATAAGGCCCTGGAAGTGTCGAAAAAGATGGTGGATGTTCTTGGTATCTCGACTGCTTTCAGTCTTTAATTTACTGTAAGTACTCAGTTCCATTGAGGGCCAGGGCCTCCGCGAGGGTGTAGGATTTGTCCAGATTCTCGACCTCGGGCACGCGGCAGCACCCAGCCGCACCCAGCTTAGTTTTGCCATGCTCTTTGATTGTGCTTCAGCTGCAAGAGCAGGAAAGGCCAAAGCAAGTGACGCTGCCATCAAAGAAAATCTTCGAAGCTTGGTGGCCAATGCTTGGAACTCGTGACTGGTGAAAGACTCTGTAGGGCAAGAGGCAACAGCTGAGCTATTGATAGGAGTAGTAGCGCATAGTAGTGCATCATCAATTTGCCCAAAGCACAATCACGAGATATATGTATTATATATTATATCCAGATATTTCAATTTCATTGTATAATCATATTCAGCCTTAGCCTGTGTTGAACGTTGATAGATTCCCAGTTGATTGGAACATGCCTGCACAGCCCCCATATATTTCTGATCGTACGATTTTTTCTACTAATATGTATGCTGCATACCTGGAGCTTGGAAAAGACGCAAATAACTGTCCTTGTGCAAGATTTCTGACGAGGGGATACATTGGGGGATTTCTATGGATTCCTTGCGAAGGATCTGCAACTGTGCATTTTTTGAATATTGTGGTCAATTTTTTGTATTTGGCACCTTTCGAAAAAAGGGCAGAAATTTCCGCGAAAAGGGCGGAAATACCCAGGCAGAGTCAGCATGACTGTAGAATGAACACATTCATGTTCTTCGGAAATGGACATTCATGTTTATTTTGAAATGGAAAAATATATGACGGAAATATACGGAAATCACACCAAAATCTGCCCTGGACGGAAATGTGTACAGTAACCAATGAATATGGTCCTTGGATTTGATGATATTGTGGTACTTTTGCTGCCAGAGCTTTCTCCGTTTATCATTCACCTACGTTGATTTTTTATTTGGATGGCTATTTAGCTTCTCTCTCTATTCCTGTCCGAAGCAAGGAGCTTTGGGATCGACACATTGTGTGTGAAGTTTCTCTTAGTCCTTGGTTGTGTTCACCTGAGTGCTCAACCTTTAGTGAAGGGGTAGGCTGGCTGTCTGTTTTGAGGGAGGTTGAGGTGCATGCGAAGCCGGGCCCAATAAGGGTTTGGCGGGGTGGCGTCGCCGAAGGTCCGTGTGGAGGGCGCAGTCAAAACAAATGAATATGAAGGTATGGTATGGTTCTTATCATCTCTCATCCTGAAACTGGATTGTCTTTTTCTGGAGGTTTTGTGTTGGATGACGGGAGCAGATACCCGGACTAAGCCTGCATTCGCACTGCACGTTGCTCACAGGATAGCAGAAAACAGAACAGAGAATATCAATGTAAAAGCCCAAGCGGATCATGTTTGTTGAAACATATGTGGCGTCAAAATGACTTTGGTCCCTAAAAATCCTTCTCACTGCACAACGATCTCCTGTCCGTGGACTTTGCCTGTGCCCGGTAGCATTCCTCAGGACAAACAGGGGATCCATTGGTCTACGATGATGGAGTCAACATCTCTGAGGACACAGATCCAGGCCGGGAGGATGAAAACGCAGGAAAAACCCTTCACATAATGTATTATAATACATGTCAAGAGGATACAATATAGGTATTATATAGGTCCTATAGGTTTTCTATAGGTACCATGGCCATTTTCCGGAGTGTTTCTGTGGTGTCAAGCTGTGTCCAGAGTACCCCTCGCCAAGGGAAAGAAGTGGGAGAGTTGACGGAAGGCATTGCCAAGTTGGCGAAGCGGCGTCTTGATTGCACATGGTTGACAAGTCGTGATGTTGCGGTTGTTCTGAGGTAGCCTGTAAACAAATCAACAGATCTAGAAAAGGCGTATCCCCGGCACTGTTCACGCGATTTCAAGATCTTCAAGGAACCATGTTTGATGCCTGATTTCTGATGGCACCAATCTGAACCAGGCGTGGTGACGACAAGATGCTCAAGAAAACTGAGGGAAAGCTGCCAGGAGCTGAGCGGATCACGGCTGCCATCTTGATGTGTGCTCTTCATAGGAACGAACAACTAGATTCTAGATAAACTAGATGACAACAATATAGTCTATAGTAGCGGTGAGAGAAAATTATGCAGCTGCATCAAAATGTACGCGGAAGGGATTGCAGGGCAGAAAAAAACATTCTCCTTGCTGAGTTTGGAGCACATGTCTGCGGTTCAGAACATGGTGGATGGAGCCCAGGACAGAAATCGGGTGCTTTTTTTGACCACAGCAAGATGGGAATTTTTGAATTAGATAATTTAGATAGCAATTTATAAATTTTGCATAGCATTCATTCGCTCCCAATGCCACAAAACTGTCTCAGTCAACCCCATGCTGGATGTTCTGCTCCTTCCCCTGTGTGAGGACACTGCTGAAATTCCAGGCAGCGCCAGAGAGCGAGAGAGAGAGTCACTGTTAGGGAACATTGAGAAATATTGGGAACATCCTGCTAAAGTTGAACTATGATCTTGAATATAATACGCTGATAGCCGTGCAGGTTTTGCTTGCAGCATGGATGCAGCCTTGATGTCGATGATAGGGAATTGCCGTAGCAATAGACTCCGATGCAATAGGGTTCCACTGCGCATCACTGCGCTATTGCAATGAATTCAGATAAATTCTAAATTGCAAAGTATGATTCAATGTTCCAATGTTCCACTGCCCAGCCTTCAGGTGATGCTCGCGAAGTTTTGGACGACACAGAGGACGACAACCTCACCGAAGTGGCGAACGATTTGGCTGTTCAGGCGGCAGAAGGTGCCACTGCTGGGGATGCAGCTCAGTATCACAATGTTATGAGTTTCTTGATGCATTGCCACTTTTCATAGTTTCCCATGCAAGTGTTGTTGCAGTTCCTGCTCCTTTCCTGCGCGCAGAAATACAGGGAACGCAGCCAACATCATGTCCGTGACAATCAGTGAGAGAGAGAGAGAGACCTGGACTGCCCACGGCAATACAATTGATTCCATTGATTCTTCAACTGACGTTGCCAGGAAATGACGAAGCACCAGAAAACTGGGAGGTGGAAGAGCTGGATGTGGATTCCATGGATGCCTTCACTCGAGCTCCTTGGTGGCAGCTGCCAGACCGGTTGCAATGTTGTCCCTTCTAGAGATAGGAGTCATGGTACTGCATGCGGATGCAATGATGTTTTTCGGGTTTGAGGAAAGCTGGCGCTTTTTCCGTAAAAGGTTTTGCAATGCTTGCGTTTCATGCATGTGTATTAAGATTGTTCATTGGCCTGCCAGGCGGTTGCGTTGAGCAAAAACAGAACTAGTTTCTATGCTCATCCTGTTGCACCTTGTTGCATCGTGTTGCGCCCGCATCATCCAGTTGCTCCTTGCGATTGGGTGACTTTGGGCAACCGCTGTTTTCCGAAAATATTTGCATTTTTTGCAGCTTGAGACAAATTGAGGCTAAGCTTTGCGAATTTCTTCCCAGTTTGGACTGCAATGCTTGTGGCGCCAATGCCAGCAGCTCCCCGAACTTGACTGGGCCAGGGCACAGGCGACCGTGAGGTGAGTCAAGACATGTCAAGACTGTTTCCTTTTCATGGTAGAGAGTCAGAAGATGTCAGAAGCCACCAGCAACATCACCAACTGAGTGTTCGTAGGCTGGAAGGGCAGGATCACAGTTTAACTTCAACGAGCTCTTTGTTAGAAGTTTCAATAAGTTTCCCCTTTTCCATTTCCTGTTGTTGGCTCAATTTTGCTTAGCATGGCACACGCACGTGCCGGATGCATCCAATTACTTGACATGCGGCGTGGCCCGAAAGTGAAAAACTATTGCCTTGAAAGCCATTTAGTCCTTGCTTTTTGGATTTGTTTGATTCTTTTTGGAGTTTGGTATAATTTGGTCCATTTGGATCCATTTGGTCCATTTTGTTGGACTTCCAAGCCCGTCCAGCACTGCGTCAATTAATGTCAATTTGCTCAGGTTTGGCAGAGTATCAAACCTGCGTGGGGAATGAGATCATGCTTTACCAAAAGGAACGAAAACAGAAAGAGCTGAGGACAAAATACGGTCGCTTGGAAGTGCTTAGTTGAGCCACGTCCTGGGCGCAAAACTGACAATTACGAAAATTGTCGAAATGATGTTAAGATGATTTAAGATTGCAAATTGGTGACACGGAAGGACGGGTTCTCGGAGCCTCCACAATGCAAGTCATCCCAATAGACATGTTCGGCATGACCGCAAGCCGTCCCAAAAGTGGGTTCAATCAACATCCCGAGGAAACGAGGTGGAGCAGACTGTAGAGAATCAGAAGAAGTTCCTTGGAGCGAGAAGATTTTACAATTGCCCCACTTAGTGAATTTCTGGGCCGGGGGCTTGGTTGTTGAGGGAAAGATAGGGAAGATTGCAGGAATATCTAGTAGTGACTGAGATGCCTTCCAAGCCAGTCAGCCACCAAGGTCCAGGTGCCATGTTCCTTTTTTTTGGTTAATTTTTGGCAATAAATCAAGCAGATTATGGACTCATACGTCCAGGTACGCTACTCTTTCTGATAAACATTTGGAAACAAACGCACAAAGACCTGCCATGCCCGACCCGCTTCACTGATTTTGCTTTTTGTGTGTTTTTTAATGCTCACTTGAACGCTTCTGGGTCCGGGTACCAGCCTGCAAGATTCCATCAGGATCAAGAAACTCAAGCGAGGGGCACTTCTGGCTGCACATGACGCATTTCAGCCACTTGCCAAATGCAGTTTCCATATTTTTTTTGAGGACTTTACCGATGTTTACAGATGTTTACAGGGTGTCAGTGCGGAGATTCTTGCCGCTTGGCGTGGGCCGGTGAGCTTCCAAGTGGTCCAAGGATTTGGGGCGTTCACCGAAACTGGGCTCGTTGGACTTCCGATCCAATGTGGCCATTGGAAGCTCTGAAAGGCGACTCCGAGTCCATCCGAGTCCAAAAGGCTTCTGGAAATAGATTCTATATAAGTAGATTCTAAATAGATGAATTTGATACACCCCATAGAGATCCATAGAGCTGCCCCTTTAGTGAGAGTCAGTGAGAGTGGCGCTTAGCTTGAAAGACTTTTGCAGAAGCAGGGGGAGCGATTTGCAAAGCTTGCTGATCATTGCTGATGCCTCTTCAAGTCATTGAATTTGTTGGAGTACACTCTGCAACAAGGGGAGCTTCTTTTTGCAGGTGAGCCAGCGAAAGCTGGATGGGATGCCTTCACCGCGGATTCCCAGGCCATTGTCTCAACTCACCTCGCTGACTTCCAGACCGAGGCAGTGGCAATTGCCCAGGAGACGGGCCGTGGACTTGATCCAGTTGTTTCATGCTGCTCCGTATGGAGAATATGAAGAGATATGGTACCAACATGTACCAACCCGTCCAAACCCCGCATGTCGCATGATGTGCAATGATGCGCCCTGCATATGATCCAACCAGAATCCAACCAGCATGTTTTTTTGATGTTTTTGGAAATTGTCTTGTCAGGTTGTCATATCTTCCCGCAGGTTTTTAAATTGGGTTTTTCTTACACAGGGAGAACGCATGTTGTTTCTGCAGGAGGAAGGCATGGCCTCTGCCGATACCGTCTATGCAGGACAGCTGCTGTGTTGAAGGGCCACACGGAACCAATGCTATCAATGGTGTCGCAGGGGCACTTACATACACGAAAAAAGAAAGGCTTGGGTCCCATTGTCTAGGGGAGCATTCTGTTTCCTCACAGGGATTAGCACACAGCGGGTTCAGTAGTTCATGCTGGTGGGGAGGACTGAACCAGAATAAGCGTTGGCTCAAAATGATGAGCGCTCTTTGTGTTGTGAGCCTGTTGGATTCCACAAAGCATTTCAAAATGATGTGAATATTTTTCAAGCAGATTGAGTAGCAGTAGCATTTATATTTCCTGGTAACCCGTGGTGTTCCATGTTCTAGCATGTTTGCGTCGCTTGTGTGGCTATCGAGAAGAAATCTGATCAATGCTTCCCTCCTGTCCCTGTCCAGATCACTTGGCACACCATGTCGATGCAGCCACGGAGTTGCAGACTGGAGCAGAAGATCTTATGGCACAAGGAGCACCCAGTTTGATTGCAATGACATGCAATGACTCTAGGGTTGTTCAAAGGTGTGAAGGCCCACCACCTGACCTCAACTGTGCTTTCCCTGTACCATCCTGATCCATCCTGATCCATCCTGTACCTCAGGAGCTGAGTTCCAGGCTAGTGGTAGTGATATGATCGGAAACGCCCAGAACAGTAACTCCGCCAATGCCCAGGGGCTCCAGGGACCTGTTTAGAATCGGCACGTTGAGACTGTCATAGAATCCTATGGACTTGTCATGACTTGTCACTGGCCGGAAAGGGTTTGTCAGTTTGTCTCTTCTCCAGCTAGTATGGTCGCCTTGCAATCAGCAGTTTCCTTTCCAGATTGGCACCTCAGCTGAGGTATGGCAGAAGCTCAATCCATTCAGGCAGACAGCGCGGCTTTGCAGGCCTGGGTGGCAAGGATTCTGGTGATTTCCGGTTTGAAGATTAGTCGAGTCATTCGAGTCAAGACGTGGAAATACGGGTACTCCTGATTTTCTTTGGATCAAATCAGCATACATTTGCATGGGGAAGTAAGAGCTCCTTTTACAGAAGCCAGAACGGCAGAAGCCAGAATGGGTATGGTGGTGCTTGCACACCCATTCTTCTAGTACTTGCCATCTCAGGCATCGGACCTTCATAGTGGTCATCCCAGTATCATTTACTCGAGGCCTGACAGTTCCACACCTTTATCCTGGGTTGGACCGGAATGCCACATCGCAGGAGAGAATGCAACAGACCGCCCTTGACCTTCAGGCCGTTTGTGAGGGCGGCCAAGGGTGTGAGATGAAAGAAACGCGGTTTATTTTAGCCATGGTTTCAGCCACCACCAAACGCTCATTTGGATCATTTGGGAAGGTCGAGGTTAGGGACCTTTCGCCTCCACCACTTGGCAATTAGTTCATTTAAGAACAAAGCCTTTTAGAGGGAAGACGTGATTCTGCTGGAAGGACACCACTATATAACTATATATAGACAAACTATGAGACAAAGCAGGACTTAGAGTTCCAAAGAAATTTGCCCGGAGCGTGGTGTGTTTATGCTGCTAGCAACTGCTTGCACCATCCTGCACCAAGAATTGATGGCGACTTGCCGATTCAGGTTGAGGTTGACAAGTGCCGGCAGCCCATTAATCCATTGACTGGGCAAACATCATGCAATCCAGATGTGTCTTGCGCTGCATGGGAGGCATTGAGAGGGCCTGTCCATGCCTCACACAATCGATCATCATGTTGCAAAATGTTACATCAATATAGATCAAAAATCGTATATGTTTACATTTAATGTACATCCAAAGGTTCAACGTATCCCTGACATTTGGATCTGGCCGAGCCCTTCCCAGCCTTCCCAGCCTTCCCAGCCACGTTGTCCTGAGGAAATTGCACGTCTCACCGGAGAGATGGACACCCACCAGGAAGAGGCATCAGACATTGCCGATCGTGGGTCTGCACTGGGTGAGGCTGGGAGCAACTGGGGGTAACTGGGGGCTGATGTTTCAACCCGCTGCGGAGATGTGTAGATTTGATGTTTTGACATGATCTGAATCGATCTGATATGATTTGATTTGATATGTGATTGGATTATACTTGATGTTATTACATTATTACAATATATTACAATGTTATTTCCTCATATTTGATGTTGGTGGGTGCAAAGTCCTTCTATTCGTCCTTAATTGATCTTAACTACATAATTAATAATCAATCCTCGCTACTAGAACCACTGTCCTCCTTCCATATGTGATATTTGTTTCACTGGCTTTTGCTGACAGGAAATGCAAGCGCACTCTGAGGAGGCTCAGGAAATGGCCGCAGAAGCTGAAGCCATGGCAGCAGATGCCGAAGAATTGACTCTCTCAGCGAACAGGGAAGATGCAAAGCCTGAGAAGGTAGATACAATAATGTGAGAGGGTATGATACAGTGCTGTAGTCACTTTATGTCACTATAGTGAATGCAAGCAAGATTTGAAATACAAGCATAGATGAGGCAGATCTGGATGATCAGATACAAGAGTCTGAGGTAAACCAAGGTGGGGTATGCACATGTATGTGCGCTACAGTGTCATGGAGGATTCTGTGCCTCAGGTTTTTAGAAATATTTTCAGAGGTAGCTTCCAATAGTTCCGGGTGTCAAACATGGGTTTGGCTGAGTGCAGTTTCGCAAAGAAAGGCGGTCATCGGCCTTGAATTTGGTGTGCAGCGGGCACTTGCTTGAGCATCCTTTGGTGCTTCGCCATGCTTCGCCATGCTTCGCCATTACCCCTGTTATTCTTCTCCATGTCATGCAGCCACCTACCTCCACTGGAGATTGTCCCTATGTTTGTCCACCAAGAATCTACTGCAACAATTGTCCTTAATTACCCAACCAGAGTGTGCCTTTGGAAATTTTGGAATCTACCAGAGCAACCCTATCCAAAGGGCAGAAACTGCGACTAGACATGACCAGACTTAGACTTGTGCTTGATCTGAGTATGTGACAACTGCTGGGCAGCGCCCTCGAGGAAAAACCAGGCCATGACGCTGAAGGACGAAGCGATGGCAGAGCCGCTTCGCTGACATCAATTCCTGTGGGTATCGGCTGGAAATGGCTGGAAGATGTTTGATGCCAACATATGCCAACTCATGAATGTCCCATCAAGCCCCAAGCACTTTGCACTGGGCGGGCCGAGGTATCTCACAATGTTTTTGATGCATAAGCTGTCAGAAAATATCGAACATATGGTAGAGTGATGTAGATAGATCATGATGATTTGATGGTTACTGTATGTTACTGTTGTTTAGTTTGCTCAATGCTCTTCTTAGACAATCTTCATCGATCTCCATAGAAAGCGGCTGGCCTGGTGACGACCTCTCACTGGCCCATCCAGGTGCCAACCGCCATGTCGTGAGGCTTACCTCATCAGAGACCTTGAATGCCGTGGCCGATGAGCTTGTGGACTGCGCAAAGCGCATTGCCCAGAGCATCTGTGCAGCAAGTTATGATACAGTAGGATATATGATATATAATGATATATATATATAGATATATATAGTTATATATATATAGATAGATAGATAATGATGTGTATTTAAAAACACATATTTACAGCAATCCTTTTTGTCACTATAATGGTTTCTGAGATGGTGGAAGGTAATTAATGATTTGTTGCTTCTGGGGAAAACTTTGGCAAAACAGCTGGACGCAACAGGAGCAAACTGACAGCTCAGGAGTGTTGGAGCTTGCTGCTCAGACAGCCAAGCCGCTTGGCACAAAGGGCCTATTCGATTGGTCCAGGCAAAAGCAAACTAATTTGAGATCCGTAGAAAGCATTTGAATGATTTGTCTCTTACGATGATCCAGCCCGAAACAAACCTCAGTTCCTGTGCCTTATTGAGGTTGATTGTGGTTGCCACTAATTATATGATATTAATATGTGCATATATTTATATAATATATATTTACATACAAATCGTATGGAAGAAGCAGATTCATATATTAGAAAACTGTTCGCAAGGGATCAGCATGATCAACGAACCACCAATGAGCAACCATTGTTGGCAGATCAAAACGGTGCCTACCGCTTGTGAGGTCCATGACCGAACAGATCCTGGCCTTGGTTCCGGATCTTTTCTTTGCATGCTTAGAGGTGAAGCAGAGGAGACGAGACAGATAGGAGATGGAGTGAAGTAGGGGGTTTCAAGACCGAACTGAGAATGGATTGGGCAAATATGATTAATCATGCTGCGGATTGATCATAGATTCTTTTGGATGTTGTCCGCCGCATGGCATGCAATTCTGAAGGCAGCATTGGACATCATTACCGGCTTCGGTTGGATTATCACAGCTGCTCGCTTGAGCTGCTTGGCTGCAATCAGCCGCAGGAGCGCCCACTTCATGAGGGCAATAATGATGTTGACGGAAGAATGGTTCACTGGTATGATGCTGTATGATCTTACATCTCTTGTTTGCATTGTTTATATTGTGTTGGAGTCTTGGGGGTCCTGCTTCTGCTTACATGCTGACAGGCTACAAGCTGGCCAAGTACGCCAGAAAGAAATGGCGCGAGTGGAAAGATTCCAAGAAACAAACCCTGTGTGGCACCTAAGCTGAAGATTTGCTTACTAGCATTTGTTTTTCGAAAGTGATTTTGAAATATGCAGGATGAGTTCTTGTTATATTTCTGATATTTTCTGGTGCTGAATACTGAAACTCATTGGGTCATGCCTACCGCCTTTCGGATAGCGGCACACAGACACTATAAATAGTCATCACTTTTCACCTAGATGATGCCGATCAAAGATACGATGATGATGTCTAAGGAAAAGATCCCCAAATGGACTGCTGCGTCAACAACGTGATGGCCTGGTACGACAAGCAGGTTCTTGGGCAAAGCAGCTGATGCGCCTTCCAATGCCTTGCAGGGACTGGATTGACAAGACCTTATTGGGCCGTTGCATAAAAACTTAGACCAAAATTAAACTTTTGCAGATGACATGTGCTTTGATCATCTTTGATCATGTTTGATCATCTCTGATCTCTGTGACATTTGCATGAGTTCCTGTTGCACATGAGCTGGTTATTGTTTCATTGCTTTTCAACCTAGTTCATACTAGTTCCATGTTTTTGTGCATGTGCACAGCATCGATGCATATGTCTTGAAGAATGTTTCTTTCCGCCACTCAATGCTCACCCAGCATGTCCGTCGGTGAGGTCAAAGTACAGCGTGAGACAGAGGCAGAGTTCCGAGCAGATACCCAGGCTTTCCTGGCAAAGGCTTGATCGTTGACGGGAAATGTAGGAGCCTTTGTTATTACCCCTTGAACGCAGCACAACACAGCCATGGATATAATGTGAAGATAGTGAAGCTATAGTCTGCTTTTGGCCTGGCACCATGACACTTGTTGGATTTGAGCTGGTCAATCCCGCAAATGTAAACATATGTAAACTCAGATTCTTGAAGATTTCGATCCTGAAGGTGGTCTTCAAAGTAAGTATTAATTTCTGTTCTGCTGCCACACATATCTTTGGCCGGCCATTTGCCACAAAAGTAGTGGACTCGCCCGACCGCACAGTCCTTGAACTATCCTGATCAATGCACACCGTGGTCTGTGACTGGATGCAGGGAAGTGCTGAGGGACTGGCAGTGTTTCATTGTGGATTGCGGTTGCCGGTTGGCTTGTTCTGCAGTTCAGGAAATTTCAGGAATCCATTGGTCCATGCTTGTAGGTTTGGAAGGTGGGCCATCATGGGCCAATTCTTTCTCCTTTACCTGTACCTTTTCAAGCATTTTGAAGCCCTCCAGACCTGAGGTGACCATGTTCTCAGATGCAACCGACGATGAGACCTTGAAGCTTGGTGTACTGTAAAAGTAAACCAAGGTGAGATGAGCACTGTTTGGAAAATGTTGGAACTCTTTGTGACTGGACTTTGAATCCTTTAACGTAGCAGTTTCTGAGGAAGGTGCTGATTGCTCGCGAGATCGAATCAGGGGCTCCAACGATCTACACCGTTGGTGCCAGGACGACTCATCCAAGTTGGTGGGATTGGCGGCACAAAGCTGCTGGCCGGTGCTAGCAATCGGTTAAAATCGCCGTGTGCTTCTTATATAGATCTTCTTAGTTCCTTACATGAATAGACAATTGCGACATTTTGAGATGGTCCTTTTGGCTCTGGCGGCAGTTGTCACTGTTCTTGTGGTTGTGATGGTTTCAAACCTCATCGTCTCTCATTCGCGCAGTTCGTTTTGAAAACCAAATTTGACCAATTCTAGTACATACCTATAAACTTCTCAAAAGGCGTTGATCCTTCAAGTAAGGTAAGACGTGTCTTGTCCAGCAGATTCTTTGGCCTCGGAAGGATCTATGGCAGATTCGGCAAAGGCTTGTTCCGGCGGAAGTTTGATGTCCGTTTGGTGGTCTCTCGGATGAGTTTCCTGGTGGAGTTCCCCAAGAAGAAACGCCAGAAGCGGGCAACCGTGCTCCGCTACAATGCAGGCTGCGAGGTGTGCTGGGAAGTTGGGCGGAAGTGAAGCATTGCAGCAACATGCAGCAAGATTACCTATTGCAATTTTACGCTTGTTATGTATACTAAAATACTTTAGTTTCATTTGGAATCCTCTGGACAAGGGCCGGATCATGCCAGGATTTCCTTCCAATGGCTGGGGGCCGACGGGACATCAAAGGACACTTGGATACGTCTTTTTTGGGGGGCGGAGCCGTTTGGGTGCATGCTATGGAATCCTATGGGTAAACCTGGTGTGTTCCAGGACTGCGCATTTTGAAGGCCAAGAGCAAGAAAGCGCCGCATGGAGTCGCGCCTTGCCACAAGTGTTGTTTCATTATGTTCCAACACGGCAGCGTCCTACCGCTGGCCACAGAAGTTGGCTTGAATTGGAATATGTTAAAATCATTTGAAATCAACATTAATACTCCACTTTGGACTTCATATAAATTCTCATTGGAATTGATCAGCTGTTGCTTTTGGTGTTGTCGCTGCGCTGAGGTGCTCAGGTTTGGCAAAGGTTTCTTCAGACAAAGAACCTATGAACTGGTGGATGAGAAACAGTGCTTTTGGCTGAATCAAATACTTCATGCAGTGACAGAAAAACGGTCAGTGTCTAGTGGACCCAACTTTATGGGAGGACACCGAGTGGTCAGTCAGCCGATGCCATGACATCCGACCATCATGTGTTGATTTGATGGAGTTGATGAATGTTGCTGCAGTGTTTCCTTCCATATTATCATATATTACCCAATGTTTGTAGCAACCCAAAAAATAACTACCGACAACTTATCATAACTTATCCCAATTTCATCCAATTTCCAGAAGGTCTCAACAATCCCCAATGGATCCAATGGGATGTTCATTCATTGGGTCTACCGCATTGGATGGAGTCAAAACTGTGGAGGTCTCCCTGTGCCGTGGCACATGCTATGTGCCGAGCTGCATGTTACAGACCGGAAACATGTGACAACTACATCGATCCTGATGGCTACATTGGATTGGAGCCTCGATTAGAATTGCTGTAGAATACTTTTGGATCAGTTTGACTTCAAGCTCACTTCATCCTCCATATTTTGCCTCCTTAGCTGCACACCTGAGGCATGTGCAGGTATTCCAAACACATGCACATGCACACGCAAGAGCCAAATCGAATGCACGCAGGTTCTCATGTGCACGGTTGGCTGGCTAAATGGCTGTTTCCTCGGAGCACTGGTCTCTATCCACATGGGTCCAATGTTTGCCTCTCCTTCATTTGTTACTCGCACTGGTCACATGACAGTTTCGTGTGCACAATCAATTCCATCATATTCCATCATGCAAAGTTGCAACTCACGGCCGATCTGCCACTTAGGACAGCAAAGCGGCTCAGGCTAGGATTGGTGCCTGCGGTTCTTGTATGGTATGTCAGATATGACATTCGAGGGAGAAAAGCTGATTACTATGGGCTTCGTTGGTGAATATGTGTAATTTATCGCTCTGGATAACTATTTTCGGGCTCATTGTCACAGCTTTTGCAGCTGTCGACCCTGAAGGCCAGCCAAAAGAACCTGCTGCCAATTTGTGCTCCGGTAAAGGGACTAGCAAAGGCCAATGGGGTGACGGAAACTAGCTCAAATTTGGTGCTTCAAATAAAAAGCAAACTATAGCAAACTTCTTCGGAGCTCATTCTGAGATATTTTGAGGCTTGTGGCCTCAAGTCAAGCAGTTGGAACGACTTGCAAGCGGCTTTTCAAATGGCCCAACTTGCTGACTGTTTAACGGTTTTGTTGATCCAGGACAGCAACCTTGTTGTTGTGAAGTAAGATGAAGTAAGTAGTTCAAATCCAATCCACACTTTCACGGATTTGATGCAATATAGTCTGGGCCGTTCATTCACTGCGTGGGTGCCATGTGCCACTAGTTTCCTGACCCAACGTGCACTATCAGCACCAGCTGAGGAAAGCAATACGTCCAGTGACACCAAACTGGGTCCAACTGCTTTGCGGCCATTCGTTTGGCAGCACTTGTTCAAAGAGGGCAAAGATGAAGCAATGCCTCGGACCGAAGCCTTGGCTTATGCAGCTGCGGTTTGTGACAAGCACGTTCTTCCATTTTGGTCCTGTGGCTGCATGAGATCAAGCTGACGGTTGTTCACTATGTAATGTGGGAACTTGTCGGTTACCGCCTTTGGTCAACTATGCCAAGTACGATGGCAGAATAGGCAGCATGCATTGTTTCTGCGTTGAGTCACGGACCGAAGCAAGAAAGACCGAACAGCTCTACACCGCATCAAATGAACCATAAGCCTGGAGCGCTGTTGCTATTGCATTGACGAGCGCATACGAGCGCCGAAACCAACAGAAAGAAGAGAGATGAAGAGAGTATGTTCATCCTGTTCATCACACATTTCACGCCTGGAAACATATATAGGTCGTGCGGCAGCGAAGAGTGCTCACTCTGCCAGGGAGTGGCCTCAATGTGCCTTACCTGAAGCTTTGGAACGTGGCCAACTCCGCAGCTTACTGAAGGTAGCAAAGCGAGGCTCTGAAGTTGATTGCGAGGAAATCTCTTACAATATAATCAGTCTACCATTTGTTAAGCTGTTCCTGTTTCATGCTCAGGATTGAGGTATTCTGGCAGACGCCGCAATTCAAGAGTCCATTTTCTGAACCAAGCCTTGCTTAATAACATGTGGCCCCTGCAACATCGATCGTTCGGCCTCGAGGTATACTTCATCGCAGAATCCAGACGAGTGGTGCAGCACCTTCAAACTTCCAGACAGCGAGAATCTGGTCACAATTATAATTTCTGTCCCGTTATGGGCCAAGGGCCAAGGGATATGGTCCTAAAACTTGAAGCACGCCGCGTTGCGTTGCTATTAGGATATATTTATTCCATAGTTGATGCTAATCTTGTGCTAATTATGGATGACAAGTCTCACATGATTGCGAACATTTGAGATCTTATTCTGACTGTCTTGCGCTCAAATGGATTCCGCTCGAGGAATGTGTCTGCATCCTATGCTCGAGATCTTGGCCGATATTTCAAATGCCACTATTTGGCAGGCGCTGTTCCAAATGGCTGGTAGCAGGGCTCAATTTCTGGTAGACTGTTGGACTCCAAAGATCTTTCGTTTGGTGGTAGTTAGGGGTCTTACTTCATGTACTTCTCCAGCCCAGTGCTGCACCATGTTTTTTCGGCAATTATTTTTCAGTCTTAGCCCCTGATCGAGGGGATATAATTATAATGAAGGCAACAGGGGTAACAGATGGCCTAACTAAGCGTAACTAACCGTGACAAAGGACTTCACCTGCACCTTGCTGCTGCGGCCCAATTTGCAGCCCAGCCAACCCTGTCACAGTCAGAGTCAAATTCTCTCTCCATCAGCGACTTCTATAATTAGGTATATTAGATTAGTACCCCGCATATAGTCACAATATACTCATAATATGGTCATATTGGTTAGCCATGTCTAGCCACTAGAGTGTAGTCATTTGTGCAGGATATTTGGGAAGCACCGATGACAAGCGCCGACTATCTGGCAGAGAGTCCACAACAGATGAGGTGTGCTCAGCACGCACTTTGTGTTCGGACTCTTGTCATGGGATGGTCTAGTAAAGGTGCAAAAAAAAGCGCGCACACCAGACACACGTCATTAAATTTGTAAGTTTCAAGTTTCAAATTGCCACACATACATCAAACTGAGTGAAGATTGGTATTGAGCAATGATGAGCAATGATAGGCAATGCTTCTTTTTTTCTCTCGGAGAGAGTTGTGGGTGATTGCCAGATATTACCAGCGATGCTGTTTTTGAACCATTTATTTTCCCCAAATGCTCCGCACTTGCAAATTCGAGCAGTTTCATCCAGTGGGTGGTGTGCAATTGGTCCTCTGGCAAATTGTGCCAGAGCATGCCAGAGCCACGAGTGCCTAGGAAGAGAACAGTCGATTGCCAAAACTGGACATGCGACCGGGCTTGCAGAAAGGCAGGGCTGTGACCCCTGGTTACCTGGTTTATCGATGGTTTTCCATCATGTTTTCAAGCCGAAAGGAGTTTGCATGTATTGCACGTGGATTGTGTTTGACCGCTACATGTGTTCATACATGTGGTGTTGTCCTGACGCATCTGACACTCAATCAAGAAGTTCCAGTGCAGGCACTGACGCCTATGCGGATTCGCAGTGTCGCATGTGCATAGAATTTGTTCAGCGTGCTGCTGCTGGCATGAGACCCAAGAAGTTCTGCAAGGCCATACCAGGCATCTCAGCAGGAACATCTCTGGACAACTTTGACGTCAAACGGCGCTATGCAACGTTTTGTCTTTCCACCACCTTTGAGTTGAACCAGATTTTGCAATTTTTTGCCAATGTGTGTAGAAGATTGTAGAAGTGTTGCAATATGTTGCAATACTGAGAGATACTTTCAAGTTGTTGAGGTGCACCGACCCTTGAAATCCATTGATATCGTACAGATCACCTCTGACATCTTTTGCATTGCAGAGGGTGGGCAAGGTGGAGCATATAAGAAATATATAGGAATTGCATGGAATTGCCACAGTCGGGATATCGCCGAGAGGTGAGTGCATCCGATGGAGAGACATGACAGAAACAGAGACGAAAGACATCAGTTGGCAAAGGTTCGATTGATTCGAGTTGTCGGATTGCTTGACTCCATTCACTCTGCTGCTAGCTGCTAGCCTTTGAGTGTTTGCGCCGAGGGATGTACGCTCAGCAGAAGATCTTCTGTGAAGGCACTTTGAATGACATGATGGATGCAGTGCCTGGTATCAAAGATGCCCAAGAAAGGTCGGAGATCCCAGTCATGCTCATCACAAGGTTCAAGACATGTTTTTCAAGTGTGGATGGTGCAGTATCACGAGTCTTGTTCTCTTGCTTTTGGAAGTGCGAGGACAATAGCAGCCTGAAATCGTATCTTTGAAGTTTGAGTCCATCATGATTTGAATGCCGATTCAGATGTTCCGGCATGTAAGCAGGTTCCAAGATATCCAAGATGTTGGTAAGTTGATGTAAGTTGATGTAAGTTGTAAGTAAATGTAAGTAAGTCAACTTCCTGATCCCAGTATCTACCATTCTTCTGGCAGTTGCGCCCAATTTTGTGGGATGTCAAGGTCAACCTTGGGCAGTTTGATCTGGGGATGGACCAGCTGCTTGGCAAAGATCCCAAAGGTGCAATTAAGCTGATGTCGTTCAGCCAAGCCCTTTTGCCGCACAACCATTGTGACATTTAGGATCCAATCTGCCAGTGTCACTCGAACAGAGGTCCCCAGGACTAGCAATTTGGAATGTAAATGCAAGACTGTATAGTGACTAGTTGCGTGTAAATCATTGTAAATCAGTTGTGGAGCATATCATATGCAGCATATCCTCGAATTGAAACAGCTCTGGGTTTGAATTGAAGATCTCTTGGCTTCGAGGCAAACTCACCGGGAATGTGTGCAACAAGTACTGCCAGCCATTGGTGAAGCGGAAGCCTGTGGTGCGCGAGTCGCTGAAGAATCCATCTCCATTGCTCTTGGCGGGTCAGGATACCTTGCCAGCGCCTCCTGGGAAGGCGCGGACTTGGACCAAGGCCCATTAAAAAAAATGTCTCCCTCATGCAAGATTAGCAAACTGCAGCAAACCAGGAGAAACATAGTTTTGTACGCCTTGCATCGCCTTGCTCCATTGCCGAATTCGTTTGAGAATTCTTTCGGTCGGATGCTGCGCTGCAGTGATGAATGGATCATGGCTTCCAGGTCACTGAGACGATGCAGCTGCAGACGGAAGCGCCGGAGGAGATCGTCAAATCGCCCTGGATGCAGCGGGCCATGCAACTCGACCTGCTCTGTGGTCGAGCCAAAGGGTAGGAATGATCCCTTTGCAACGATGAAAGAGATAGAGCAGATCTGCAGATGATAAGACCACAAGAACCGTTTTTGAAGACCATTTGATACATTTCATAGACAATATACATTTCATTTCATATAATATACTGAAATGGTTTCTCCTTTCCACCCCTGTTTCCGGAATGAGTGTGGTGGAGAGCAAAACCTCTCCCGAATTCTGATGTCTCTCAATAGCCTCTGTTTGATTTTATGAATCTCTAATCTTAATTACTGTCATCTTGGCTCCAAGGAAGAGTGGAAGAGTGTCTCTACGAGGCTGCCGTTGAGCATGTCCCTCTCAGGCCCACAGGCAGGACTGCTGCAGAACTGTTGAACCTGGCATTCATTGCAAAGTTAAAGCTGTGAGCATCCTACAGAAGGTTGAAGTCAGAAGCGGGATAGGTAAAACCTGGACCATATAGTACCTTACCTATCCTTATTTTATTTTCCCGACCTACTGGCCCATGCAGTGCTTCAAGTGCAGCTTTTCTACAGTTTCCTCCTTCGCAGGACCGTTTTTGCCTCACAAGAGGAGAAAGAAAAACGTCAACAAAGCACGTAAAGATTCTAATTATTAGACACAGAAATAAATAAGAATATTGAAGTAGCCCAGCGTCCCAGCAATGGCGAGATATGTTATGCCCCCAATACCGCCAATACCCGGTAAAGAGATGAGAGTCTCGACTCGGCACAGGTGGTTCTGTGGAAGTTAGATGATCGTATCCAATCTTCTATCAGCTGCTCTCCTGCAGACCGAAACCGGGACAAACAAAAGCCGGATAGCAATGGATAGCAGACGATGATCGTGGCCTAAAGGAGCTCAACTTTTGGTCGTAAGATGTTTCCAGTTGTCTATTTGGCAATTGCCTCGGGCAAAGAATTCAGAACAATTGAATCACTTGACTGGACACGACCCCTTTGCATTCAGACACTCTTAGGTGGTTGGGAAGCTTTGCTGAAAGAAATTGCCTGGGACGGAACCTTCACGCAGAAGAGGGTATGGCCCAGAACAAGTTCCGTGCCATGCACTGGTTGAAAGTTTGAGCCACCCAGGGACTGTGCTCCACGATGCGCTTGATATCATTTGATAATTAATAAGATAATCGAAGTTTATCTAAGTTTGATTTGCTTCTGCGCGCTGCCACAGGACACTCTCGGGGCGTGCTAGTCTGGATACTTCTGTTTTATGCCTGGTCAGACTTTTGAAGGATTCAGCACTTTGCCTTGTTGGCATGAGGGTCTTGGGCCCTTTGAGCCCGGGTAGGATGGTTCAGATTGGCGCAGCCAGATCCGCCTGAGGTACACAGGGGTTGATGTCCAGGAAAGTTCGGGAAGCCGTTTTCTTGATGCTCAAAGAGGCCACCTTGCTGAGGACAGGAAGATAGCTGGAAGGATTTGGAAGGTAAGGATGAGTCAGGATGAGCATAGGCACAGAAATGATGCTGGCGATGTTTGGTGGTGGAGTTGGCAATTCTGATGAATGACTGATGATTCGCCATTGATCAGTGCAGAAGCCAGTTGCTCAATTGCATCCGACACTCGAGATGGGCCAGAAAATCGCGCACGCCTGTTTCACCTTTCAAGGACTCATATTAACTTCATCTCAGACATTCTGGACACCAAAGTGAACCTCCGAGTTGCAAGGTGGGTTGGCTCAGTGGGCAGTAGATGATATCAGAATCTATTAGATGTAGTGGAAATCCATGTGCTGCAGTCCGCGTTGTATTCCACTTGAACAAGACTTTCATAACCACTTTCATATTTTGCAGTGATTTGGACATACTTAGAACATCTTAGAACGTTTTGATGTGTTTAACGTTGGTTTTGTTGTCTTTTGGTCCAGCAGCTCCAGAGCATCGCTTCGCCAGGCAGGCGGCTGAAGACTTGATCCATCGAGTGGATTTGTTGGTGGAGAACCTTGGGGCGATGAGCCAGGCATTTCTGCATGAAATTACCGAGATAAAGTGAAATTGTCCCAGGTATTGGCATATTGGCATGCCAGGTGTAGGAACGACATGTACATGGCGATGATATACATTATAGTCTATACCAGTCATTTGATAGTATATTGATGGAACATGAAGGTATCATAAGGATTCATAAGGATCAATAATATTGGTATCCAACTGAAGCTCTCAGCGAAGGCGTTAAGTAATGTGTGGAATGTATAGGCCATCCTGGGCAAGGTCAGTGGCAAGGTGTTGCTCCACATGGCCCCTATGGCAGCGATGGCAGGTGATGGACAGCATCTCACTCAGCAAAGCGCCTTCAAAATTACGGCGACAACTGCAGCGAAAGGCCCGTGACAGGGAGGAGGTGCCTTGACTCTGTCGGAAGGGGTCGGAAGTGGCAAGTGATGGCAAGTGTCCAGGAAGTTGTGGATGACTGGTTTTGCTTTGTTTCCATCAGACTCCGATAGCGCCAATAGCCCACTTTCAATCTGGCATTTGGTTGACAATTTAGACATATTTGAATTATGTACGAATGAATATGGAAAAAAGACAGGTGTTACTGCAGCACGTTTGGTCCAGTTTGTGGTGCTCTTGGCGCCTATCATATATCGATATCATTCGATATCGTTCTCTCATGTTCTCTCAATTCTCCCGTTGCCACGGAGGTTGTGAAATGCTACTCTGTGGTGGTTGCTCGGCATGAGACCCTTGGCTCAGATCTGCATGGTCGGTGTTCACCTTTGTGCAGAAGGGACCAGTGTGCAGCTGAAAGCAGGGATTGAATGCAATCATTCTTGTTCAATCATGATTGCATGGACCATACTGTAATGCAATAAGGATCCAAATAAATCCAAATAACGTATTACCGTATTAATATATTTTATAATTTATAACTTATAACAATATAAATATGATAAAATAAACGCCTGATGAAACCACGATCCGATCTGCCATCAGCTGCCCAGGAAGTATATCCCCATCATGGAAGAGCTGAGCTCAGCGTTGAAAGACGCCACTGATCCACATCTGCAAGAGTTGTTTTGCACATGTTTATTTGTATGAACCGTTGCGTGATTATTACTGAATGCCAGCTTCTCCTTGCTATGATTCACATTTGAAACATGTTGAAACGTTGAACATGAAACAATGAAACAATATTGAAACAATGAAACAATGACGCACATGCTCGAGTTTCTGGCCTTATCATGACTCTGCATCAGATTGAGAGCACAATTGCGACAGCTGCCGAGGACAAGCTTGTGGAAGCTCGTCAACGAGGTGTGAAGTACTCGCCAAAGGATACAGGACTCTTGGGCTCACGAGCGTTGAAACGGCAGTGCTTCCTGGCAGATTCAGATGCATTTCACTTCCTGGCCGGAGGGAAATGCCGCCAAAAGTACTTCTTGGCCTAGTGTCGCAGATCACTGGAGCTGCTTCCAACAGAGGTTTCTGATTTTGACTTGTAATGCAGCGCGTGGCATGGAGATTTGAATAGAATTGATTTATAATCATTTTTTCCCAAGAGTAGGTCCGTATTTCGGATTTTCTTTTGCGCAAACTGTTTCTTGTGCAGCGTTTCGCTTGGAAGGACTCCTTGATGTTCTGACCAAGTTCTACCTTGTTCTTCCCGAGGAGGACTTCCGGCTGCTCCTTTGTCTCAAAGCAGAGCCCGCACTTTGCTTTGTCTCAAAATTCTCAAAGCAAATGAAAGTAGCTCTTTTTGATTCTTTTTGTCTCATGGTATTTCTCTCAGTTGTCGCTAAGATACCGGCTGGTAAATGCTGGTAGATGCTGGAAAGGTGTTCTTTGTTTCGTACAGGCAGGGCAGGTTGGTCATTGCTCGTTGATTCAGGGACTGTCCAAGTGTGCAGGAGCAGACGCGATTCACAAGACTCAAACAGTGGCTGAATCCGTTCAACTTGTTCCGCCACTTGGCGCAATTGTCAGGGGGAATGAATACCGTTGAATACCAGTACTTATGTTTTGGAATGAAATAGAAAGATATGAAGCACTGTGTAGCAAATGTAGCAATCCGTTTTACGTATAGATAGGCTGCTGCAATAGCAGTGTTCCACGGTTCCAGGTGCAAACATCACAACCGTATCCAGCGGCTTATTGAGTGAAAGTAAGCTGCCGTGAATTGCCAGCCACCTCGAGCATGGCCATGGGTTTGGATCAGTAAAAATCACGTAGGACCAAGAAATTTGTTTTGTGAATTTGTGTTTTTTTTTATTGTGGCCACTGCAGTTCTGGTGATCCATCTTGATCCTTGATCTGTTCGGAAGCCTTTTGCTATGCCAAGGGACCCGTTTGAAGATTGACAAACTTGTGAAAGCGGATGCGAATCCCGGCTTGTATCTTACGCATGGGCAGCAGAGACTCATCTCCCCTGCGGCAGGGGCCCTGCTCTACTCTAAAACGCACAGCCACACAGAGAGCAAGGATTCATCATTACATTGATCCGCAAACAAACCAGTGTACCAGTGTCCTACAAAAGAATAAATGAAGGCTGGGGTCACCATCGTGACTACCCAGCGTCCAACGTAAGGTCTTCTGTGTTGTGATTGTTCCTGTCACTGCTTGGGATGTTTCATATGGTCATCATATGTCATCATTTTCTCAGGAAAGATTGCTCCTTTCGCAAGGCATGTTGTGATGGGCCAAATGCACTGCCAATCAAGCCAGTTCTCACGTTCATCGCTCATCGAGCATGCAGCATTTCATTTATCATGGGCAGTGGGCTTGCTACTATACACATGTTACACCATGTTACACCAGACCAGCTGGATGTCGGCTGCAAAAAGGGGTCTTTATGGTCATGGGTTCATACTAGATCAGCGCGGCACAAAGGCAACTAGATGTTGAACCAACAGTAGCACAGCGCTCATTGCATATTTTTCCCAGCTGCTCGCCTTTTGATAGCCAACCATTTCTGCGACCAAAGTGTCTTGTTCCCAGCTTGCCAAGAGTTCTTGGAAGGTTCGAAAGATGACGCGAAGTGGCTTGTGGAAAGCACCTCGGTACCACCCCAATCTCAGGATGGCATGCGACTGACATAATGATGTCATTAACTAGCTTTTCTTAGAGTCATTAACAGTGAATGTCACGTTTGACTTCGAAAGGGTCAGCAGTTCAGACTTACTGCAATACACGATGTCAATGTCTTGTTATCTCAAGCTGAGGAGTTTCAGACTTGTTGCACTGAACGGACACAACAAGTTCTTGGCTGGGAGACCAACATAAGTGCCTTGTTCGTAAGTTTTTGCAGGTTGTTGGTTTTGCATGGTTTTGCTTTGTGGATAGGCTTTGGTTCATAATTAGGCAAGTACGGCGGAAGGAGCTGTTGCATGGTAATGCCGAGTATTGCCGCATAGATCGTGTTCCAAAACGGCTAAGGAATCGTGAACATGCAGATCACCAAGGTTCTGGATATGATGGGCTATGTGTCTCTTGGTAGAAGCACCGCATTGTCGGAATCTCTGTTCGCCATCTACGAAATCGGCTGCCCGCTTTTGATTCTATTGTGATATGTTGTGATATTTATGATGCATGGCTTCCTGCAGATCTTTGTCTGTTGCTTGTTGCCCCAGTGCAACTGATTGGACACTACATGTGGTGCGCAACGAAAAATGTAGCTAGTGACCTGCGCTTGGCAAAGATGTTCACAGAATGAGCGTGGGAGTCAGGGCCCAACCCTGAGCCCTCCCGTTTGAAACCCTAGCAATCCCTAGCAAGTCTAGCTTGATTGTGTCGCGACTTCAAACGATGGCAGCTCAGGAAGGGAAACTTGCTCACACGCAACATCCGGAAGGCCTTCAGATATACCAGGCACACCACGAGCAAACGCAACTTGGGATCTCGAGTAGCATGCAGCAACTCCCAAAGGACATCAAAGGATCTGAACAGCCTTCGTTTTGCCACTAGAAGAGTTTGTATCAGTGGCCATTTGCTACGTCAGAGTCATAGCTATATATGTAGTCGTGGGATGTCATGGAATGTCACGTGGGCTTTGAGTAGGAGCTGGATAATGGCTGCTGGACATGATTGCATTCTTCCTTTGCACCAATTTGCAATCCTCGTTTTACTGCAGGGCAGTGCTTTTGGGCATTGAGCAAAAGCGCAGCATTTGGATAGAAGAGGAAGCAGCGGACATGTTGCTGGGGACTTGGATGCTTGGACCGCATTTACAGATATAGGATAGCAGCGGATGCAGCGAGAGCTGCTACTGGGGCTATTGAACCCAGTCCAATTTCCGAGAACGCTCCAAGTATATTGCCTGCTGGCAAGCTCTCAGACATTCTCAGACTACAAGATTATCAAATATGATCAAAGCTTACTACCAATAGAACAGAGCACAACGTAATACAGTAGATGGACAAAGCGTTCAAACACTGCAACATACATTACGATCATTACGTTGAACCCCCACGCCCCCAAATCTCAATGTTTCAGCGCCGGTGTTCACAAAAGTGATGTCAGGGGGGTGTGATTTCTTTGGTCCATAGGGGCAAACGCACTTCAGGTCATTCACGTTGAACTGTGGGGGCGAGGGGTTGTATGGATAGAAGGGGTTTGAATAGTTCGTCCATCTACGGTAGGACACAATAATTAGACACAGAGCCCATCGATCTGAAAGCAACGAACCAACATGAAGAAGCTAGATATACTTCATTATATTTATAGAATCTTAATGAATCCTATAGGCAAATCATAGTGAGGTAAGTAAGGTAATGGTCGGGAAGCTGAAGCTAGCTGCTGGCCGTACGGGACGCCACGGGACGCCACACCAGGAAAGACTTCCAGAAGGCGGTCGATGATGAACCTGGGCAATGCCTTGAGTCTTCAAAGTCGGTACATGATGGATATGATGGTACATGCAATGTCAATTCATGTCAGCCATTGCAGCCATTGCACTATAAGTCACTATATTGGATGGGCATTCAAAGATTTTGAAAATAGATAAATCATAATAAATCCTGGAGCAGTTTTGTTCACGATCTGTCTATTGCCGAATTTACCGAGGAAAAGGCCGGGAATCAAAAACGCGGCGCAACGTTTCGCCAGATGACGGAGGACATGTACAACTCTGTGGGTGCCTCGATACTGATCTGATCTGGGCCGGTGATGGCTGGTGCTTTGTCTAAATAGCCTGTATCACATAATATCACATATGTTTTTGAAGAGTTCGATTTGTTTAAAGGTGACGAACCAATCGTAGATTTTGCAACTTGCGACGATTTGCTCATTGAACCCACAAATTGAACTGTTTGAGAAGCAGCTGCAGTGCAGCAGTAGCTAAACTTCACAGTGAGAGCAGGACCCCACAGATCCCCACGGTTTACCGTATCCGGGACAGACATCGTCTCGTGTGTGTGTGTGTGTGTGCCCTCCATATGTAGAGGCTCAGTGGAAGGAAATTTGATATGATTCCCCTTGTCTTAGTTGACTGCGTGACTGTGTGACTGCGATGAGCTGTGCCAATGTGCCAGCTACACCGGTGCGGATGAGTGTGAGCCGTACTTCTGTCTCTTCACCAAGGCCGACAGGACAAGTTTCTGTTGGCATCTGTTGGCATGCCCAGCTTGAAGGCAGAGACTGAGTGCGATGAACCACAGATAGAACTCCAGGATACTCAAAAGATTGTTCAGTGTGTGGCAGAGAGGAACATCACAAGCCCAGAGGTATCGAGAGTGACGTGAGCATTTCGGGTCTTTCAGCAGTGTGCTTTTGCCTTGCGTGCTGGATGCGATGTTTGCGATGTTGATTTCTATTTCAAGAGTGAGAGGGTTGAGAGGAGTGAGAAGATATCAACGTTTTGGAGCCATTCCTGGCATGGAGGGCATTGGAAGAAGATCATTACGCTCATCATCGCTCATCACCATATACAATCTGTTTTCCAGCTGTCTTTAGCCTTCTTTCGCATGCTCTTTGCTCTTCTAGTAATGCTATTGATATTGTTCTGTTTAAACACTTTGCCTGATTTGCACCTTGGAAAGACAGGAGCAATTCAACACGGATATTCGTGTTGGTTTGTTTAGTCTGTTTGGTCTGGCTTCATAGTCACCATTTTGGTGATGATCTTTTGGCAGCCTCAAAATGGTGTTCTGCGTGGATTGCATTTGCATCAGCCAAAAGGATACCGATTTGAAAGCTCAATCGTCAATCGGCTCAATCTATTTTTAGTCTGGTTGGACTGCTGAAAATCGGACTCGATGCTAATTCTGTGGGATCCAACCGGGACTCAGACCACCTGAGGGTTGGCCAGATGTTATTCATTGCCGTGCTCTCAACAAGAGTGCACGTTTTCAGAAGGAGATTTCGGCAGCTCTTGTGCAGCATCACTCTGATGCCAGTTGGGCTGCTGCCTTTAAGAGGCCCAGAAGGAGAATACACAACCTTTTTGGCAAATGCTTTTCGGCCATGGCCCGACTCGTGGTCGAGATGGTGAGTGATTTTCTTGTGGTTGGCAACTATGGCGCCTTAACGTCCTTCATCATCAACAACAACAACAACAACAACAACCAACAACATCGAACCTGGACTCAGCGGTTGCGGTGTTTGTTCGAGCTGGCAGCTTTCTTGCAGAGCAAGAAAGAAAGATCAGGAAAAGAAACTCATCATCAGGCTAACCTTTCTGGGGACAGTTTACATTGCAGGCTTCCTGGCACCAGTAGATGTGGCCTATGGACCAGCTGCATTTGTTGCTCCTGCTGTGCTTATTGTCCTCTCTGGCTCAGTGGCAGGCAATGTGAGCGTCGGCACTTTGCGTCGCTATTTCCGGAATTTGGACATCATGAAGCAGCAGTTGCTGTCCATATCTTTCGATACTGCTTCCAGTACTTGTTGCAACAGTAACCACCGCAGCCCTTCAGGTGAGCCAGTGATTTTTGACCGGAAACTGGTCAAGGAATGCGTGAATGCGTGGCTTGGTAGCCAAGAGGCATATGAAAACAGCGTGCGCTGAGAGATCCGTGAAATTACTACAGTTTCAATGATCTCAGGGCGCGCATTGCTTTCAAACCCACGAACTTGCAGAGCAAGTTTTCACCCCCGAGGTCGGCCCTAGCAACATTTATGCCAGTGATGTGGGGTTTTATGGGCCAAGCAGCCAGCGAATGGATCATGCCTTCAGAAGAAGTCTGGCAGAAATCATCTCTGGCCTTCTTGGTCCATGGTTTGATCTGTTGGAGTTGACCATCCGTGTTTGCAGGCTGACACGGGCAAGCGGCAAGGCCAAGCAGTCTATACCTCGAATTCCCCAAAAATGTGCTGTTTTGCTTCACTGTGTCCGCGTGTTGCCGTCATAGCATGCTAGTGGTTTTTGTTTGCCATCCGTGGGATGCTCCCGATTCTGCGTGCAGGAACCTTTTCCGGTTTGCTGTTATGTTCCACGCTCGCTTTGCACCTGACCATTGGCATCAGGGTTTTCTTGAAACGGTCATGAGACCAGCCAGTGCTGAATGAGCCAGCATGTGCCGTGCTCTCGCATGCTCCAGCTGCTTGGTTGTTTTTTTCTGCAGGTGAATCGGTGAATTGATTGTTGAAAGGTTTGAAGACACGCTTTTCGCTGGCCGAAGTCTGAATTCACAGAGAAATCCCGTTGGATGCTTTGAAGGTCCCTGGTAAAAAAAATGAGAGATATTGGTTTGCCGATGGTATTGTGTCAATGGTGCCTTTAAGTTCTCATGACTCATGCATGTGTTTCTGGGAGATTTCCAGGCAGCAAGGTTTGAATGTTCAGTGAATGAGAACCATGTTTTGATGTGGCAACCGCATTCATCTACTGAGTCCTACCTACCACGTGCTTCGCTAATCCGCTAATCTTTGCTACATACTTTCATGATGGGTGTATGGTGTTGTATCATGTTGTATCAGTCCTCACTTGAGCACCGCGCTATGGTCCCTCTAGAGTCAACACTCATGGTTGGATCATGGTGGAACTAGACAAGATTGGACAAGAATCAACAAAGAAACGATGGAACAACTGTGCTGCAGAGGTGACCGCGGTGTACGACAAGGCCTTTTCAAAGAGTTGAGGCACGGGATCAGCTTCAGCGCGGCAAATGGATGCAAATGGTGCAGAGATTTTGCGGGGGGATATCGGATATTATTGAATGATATTGGAGCCAGCTATAGGGCCACGCAGCCAATGTGTCAGAGCGAGTAGCATATTCCTCCGGCTTTAAGATGCATAGGTTCGACGTGGTGAAGCGCAACGCCCAGGAAGAACTTCAGAGACTTGCTTGCAGTTGATTCGCCCAATTTGTTTGGAAAAGATTGCAGGTAGGATCACCTAGAGGCCCGCGTGATCAGTACAGTCCTGTCAACTTGTTCGGCATCTCGTTTGCGCCAAAACATGGAAAGGGAGATGTATTCCAAACAAAATATATCATCATAACGGCATATACTGCACAACGCTTAACGTATCTTAACATTACTTTATGATCTTTATGTCCATATCATCAAAGGAAGTTTAGGGGGAGAAACTTCCGTGTTACGGACTTTTAGAATGTCAGGGAAAGAGTTAGTCAAAGAAAGAGTTCGCAAAGAAAGAGTTCGTCAGGGAAAGAGTTCGTCAAAGAAAGAGTTAGTCAAAGAAACAGTTAGTCAGGGAAAGAGTTAGTCAAAGAAAGAGTTAGTGAGGGAAAGAGTTAGTCAAAGAAAGAGTTAGCAAAGAAACAGTTAGTCAGGGAAAGAGTTAGTCAAAGAAAGAGTTAGTCAGGGAAAGAGTTAGTCAAAGAAAGAGTTAGTGAGGGAAAGAGTTAGTCGAAGAAAGAGTTAGCAAAGAAACAGTTAGTCCGGGAAAGAGTTAGTCAAAGAAAGAGTTAGTGAGGGAAAGAGTTAGTCAAAGAAAGAGTTAGTCAGGATATATGAGGTAGTCAAAGAAAGAGTTAGCAAAGAAACAAGTCAGTCAAAGAAAGAGTTAGTGAGGGAAAGAGTTAGTCAAAGAAAGAGTTAGTCAGGATATATGAGGTAGTCAAAGAAAGAGTTAGCAAAGAAACAGTTAGTCAGGGAAAGAGTTAGCAAAGAAACAGTTAGTCACAGAAAGAGTTAGTCAAAGAAAGAGTTCGTCAAAGAAACAGTTAGTCAGGGAAAGAGTTAGTCAAAGAAAGAGTTAGTGAGGGAAAGAGTTAGTCAAAGAAAGAGTTAGTCAGGATATGTGAGGTAGTCAAAGAAAGAGTTAGCAAAGAAAGAGTTAGTCAAAGAAAGAGCAAAGAAAGAGTTAGCAAAGAAAGAGTTCGTTAGGGAACGAGTTAGTCAAAGAAATTGTTCCCTCACTGTAAATGGGATTGCAAGTGGTGCTGGTGGAGGAGTTGCCGATGGAGTTTTGAGGAAGTCTCGCACGAAATGCGTTTTTGAGAGATAGCAGATGCACGAAACCCTATGTTTTTCGATACAAAGTCCGTCCCCGAACCTCGATGATCTACCTCTGCGGTGCGACGGTTGCGAGACGGTCTCGTGTGTGGTCGGATCATGCTCGGATCATGGTCGGATCATGCTCGGATCGGTTCCGCATTGTAAATGGGGTTTCAAGTGTTTTTCGTGCATGTGCGGTCGACAGAATTCCATTGTGATTTGCAACTGTAGGATCGTTCCCGCATTGTAAATGGGGTTGCAAGTGGTGCTGGTGGATGAGTTGCCGATAGAATTCCATTGTGATTTGCAACTCTAGGATCGTTCCCTCACTGTAAATGGGATTGCAAGTAGTGCTGGTGGAGGAGTTGCCGATGGAGTTTTGGAGGAAGTCTCGCACGAAATGCGTTTTTGAGAGATAGCAGATGCACGAAACCCTATGTTTTTCCAGACAAAGTGCGTCCCCGAACGTCGATGATCTACCTCTGCGGTGCGACGGGTGCGAGACGGTCTCGTGTGTGGTCGGATCATTCTCGGACCATGGTCGGATCATTCTCGGACCATGGTCGGATCATGGTCGGATCGGTTCCGCATTGTAAATGGGGTTTCAAGTGTTTTTCGTGCATTAGTGGTCGACAGAATTCCATTGTGATTTGCAACTGTAGGATCGTTCCCGCATTGCAAATGGGGTTGCAAGTGGTGCTGGTGGATGAGTTGCCGATGGAATTCCATTGTGATTTGCAACTCTAGGATCGTTCCCTCACTGTAAATGGGATTGCAAGTGGTGCTGGTGGAGGAGTTGCCGATGGAGGTTTTGAAGGAAGTCTCGCACGAAATGCGTTTTTGAAAGATAGCAGATGCACGAAAGCCTATGTTTTTCCATGCAAAGTCCGTCCCCGAACCTCGATGATCTACCTCTGCGGTGCGACGGTTGCGAGACGGTCTCGTGTGTGGTCGGATCATGCTCGGATCATGGTCGGATCATTCTCGGACCATGGTCGGATCATGGTCGGATCGGTTTCGCATTGTAAATGGGGTTTCAAGTGTTTTTCGTGCATGTGCGGTCGACAGAATTCCATTGTGATTTGCAAGTGTAGGATCGTTCCCGCAATGTAAATGGGATTGCAAGTGGTGCTGGTGGATGAGTTGCCGATGGAGTTTTGAAGGAAGTCTCGCACGAAATGCGTTTTTTCCTCCATTTTGGCGCTAGTGAATTTCCTTCTAAAAATCCTTTTAAAAAGTGCTTCAAAATCTTCTTTTTTTCGCTCTGGCGTCGAGATCCGGTTTTGAAGCTACAATTTCCGACGCCGTTGCGCGTAGTTCTATTGTGTTTTGCAACTCACATTGTAATGGCTGCGTCAAGGTTGCTTCATGCTGTGGCTGCATGCGTAATACTATTGTCTTTTGCAGCTGGTCTTCGTAAATCGTATTGGAGTGGCTGCATGAAGGCTGCAACAGTGATTTGTCAGCAGATTTTCTCCATTTTGGCGCTAGTGATTTTCCTTCTAAAAATCCTTTTAAAAAGTGCTTCAAAATCGTCTTTTTTTCGCTCTGGCGTCGAGATCCGGTTTTGGAGCTACAATTTCCGATGCCATTGCGCGTAGTTTTCTTGTGTTTTGCAACTCGGTCTCCGCAGATCGCATTGGAATGGCTGCGTCAAGGTTGCTTCTTGCTTTGGCTGCATGCGTAATGTCTTTTGCAGCTGGATCTCGTACATCGTCTTGGAGTGGCTGCATGAAGGCTGCGACATGGATTTGTTAGCAGATTTTCTCCATTTTGGCGCTAGTGATTTTCCTTCTAAAAATCCTTTTAAAAAGTGCTTCAAAATCGTCTTTTTTCGCTCTGGCGTCGAGATCCGGTTTTGGAGCTACAATTTCCGACGCCGTTGCGCGTAGTTCTATTGTGTTTTGCAACTCAGTCTCTGCAGATCGCATTGTAATGGCTGCGTCAAGGTTGCTTCGTGCTGTGGCTGCATGCGTAATACTATTGTCTTTTGCAGCTGGACTTCGTAAATCGTATTGGAGTGGCTGCATGAAGGCTGCCACAGTGATTTGTCAGCAGATTTTCTCCATTTTGGCGCTAATAATTTTCCTTCTAAAAATCCTTTTAAAAAGTGCTTCAAAATCGTCTTTTTTTCGCTCTGGCGTCGAGATCCGGTTTTGGAGCTACAATTTCCGATGCCATTGCGCGTAGTTCTCTTGTGTTTTGCAACTCAGTCTCCGCAGATCGCATTGGAATGGCTGTGTCAAGGTTGCTTCTTGCTTTGGCTGCATGCCTAATGTCTTTTGCAGCTGGATCTCGTACATCGTCTTGGACTGGCTGCATGAAGGCTGCGAAATGGATTTGTTAGCAGATTTTCTCCATTTTGGTGCTAGTGTTTTTTGGTTGCACGTAGGTTTAGAGCAGTGTGAAGTGTGGGGCGTGAAGAGTGCAGCGTGAAGTGTGCAGTGTGAAGCAAGCAGTGGGAAGTGAGAAGTGTGAAGTGTGGAGTGTGAAGTTTAAGTGTGGAGTGCGAAGAGCGCAGTGTGAAGTGTGAAGTCTGAAGTGTGAGGTTTGGAGTGTGAAGGAAGCAGTGAGAAGTGTGAAGTGTGGACTGTGAAGTGTGAAGTGTGAGTGAAGTGTGGAGTGTGAAGTGCGAAGTGAGAAGTGTGAAGTGTGAGTTTTGGAGTGTGAAGTTTGGAGTGGGAAGGAAGCAGTGAGAAGTGAGAAGTGTGAAGTGTGGAGTGTGAAGTGTGGAGTGAAAAGTGCGAAGTGAGAAGTGTGAAGTTAGGAGTGTGAAGGAAGCAGTGAGAAGTGAGAAGTGAGAAGTGTGAAGTGCGAAGTGAGAAGTGTGAAGTGTGAAGTTTGGAGTGTGAAGGAAGCAGTGAGAAGTGAGAAGTGTGAAATGTGGAGTGTGAAGTGTGAAATGCGAAGTGAGAAGTGTGGACTGTGAAGTGAGAAGTGTTAAGTGTGGACTGTGAAGTGTGAAGTGTGAAGTGTGGACTGTGAAGTGTGAAGTGTGAAGTGTGGACTGTGAAGTGTGAAGTGTGCAGTGTGAAGTGTGAAGTGTGAAGTGTGAGGTTTGGAGTGTGAAGAAGCAGTGAGAAGTGTGGAGTGTGAAGTTTGAAGTTTGGAGTGCGAAGAGTGCAGTGTGCAGTGTGAGGTGTGGAGTGTCGAGGGAAGGACACGGTCGGGACAGGTTGTCTTTGAACTATAGGTCATTTATGTTTGGGAAACTTCCGCCGCCGGCTTGCCCGGGTCTATGTTATTGATTGCTTCTATAATTCTAATATAACATTGCATGTTCATAATTTGTATACATAATATTGCATGCATGTATATATATATATATTTGTGTTGTCACGCAGCGGAACAATCCGGAAAGAAGATCAAAGAAGTATGTTGCGTGCGCCTGGTGACCTGAATAAATACGTACATATATACGTACGATACACTTTCCTGATCCATTTTTGGGTGCTTGGTTGCTCTCACCCTTATCCCTCCATGTTCCTTGCCTCCCTAAGCATCCCGTGCCGCTTTGCGTTGCTTTGGCGTTTCTTGTTGCCTCGAACATCCTCGAACTGTTTCAGGCGTGGCAAGGATGAATTTCTGGCACTGCGTCAGTTGCTCTCCAGCCTCGCCGGGCGCATTGTGTGGCAGCTCAGTACTGAAGGATCTGAACGGCTTTGAACGGCTTTGGTGGCAAGCTGTGGTGATGTGGTTTCTCTGACTTTTGCTGATGTCCTGTTTGCATAAGTTGTTCGGACAGTGATGTGCCAGCCCAGTGTTTCCTGCATGTTTTTTGTTTTTGATTTCATTTGTGTTTACTCAGCATGTCCTCCCCTATATCGTGCGGGTTTTTGGAAAAACACAATATCTATCAATATCTTTCCAGTTCTATCATTTGTTTCCTGCCCTTGCTGCTGTCCACACATTTTGGTTTGCATCAGGCGATCGAAGAAGACAAATTCCCAGAGTTCACCGTGGAGGGCTACGACCAGAGTAAAAAGACAACATACGCAGCTTGGCGTCGGCTAGGACGAAGCATGGGGCCCACTATGGCCCACTCGGGTGACTGGGCATCAGTGCGCCTTTAATGTCAGATTATTATAGATGATTATTATACGTGGACGTGAACCTCTGTGTGTTTGTGCTTGTGTTTGTGATGTTTGTGTTGTGTGCGCGCCTACACACTGCATTTTACATAGGTGCAGCATGTAAATCATATGTATTATTAGTGTAAGGAGTATTTAGCTATACAGACATACCTCCGTGCATACATACGCACATGCAGAAAGAATGGCAGTTTCTAAATGTAGCAGCTGGGCTTGAAGAAATGGATCACGAAGGAAAAACCAGGAGGGCTGACAATCTAGAAGCCAAAGTCATGCGGCAGCTTGAAAGGTGGTCCTAGTGCTGAGACAGGGTCCCCGTCCCACAATTGTGTGCCATCTGAGACGAATGTGTGCATCCAAGAGTTAGACATCTCTTCAACATTCGTTCAAAAGCCCACAGCAAGAAATGGCAAGAACAAGAGTTGTCCAGTGAAATGTCAGTTGATGTTTGTTATGTCACACCCGCACTGGGGCCCTACTTGGGGTGCGCATGGCTGCGCAGGCAGAAAATGGTAGGGGTTGGAACAAGGACAATCAGGGAGAGATGATGGAAAGATATGGAAAGTAAGATGCGCGCCTAAATCTATACATGTATGGCAGCAGCAGTTTGGACATTCCAGTGGACCAAGCTCCGCGAAAGTGAGCGATTCATCAATCTCTTCCCAGTGTGCCAAATGCATCCAAATGCCCTATCTCAGGGACTTCTTAAGATTTAAGGCTCACATTCAGTGCAGCAGCATCAGATTATGGAAGGCTTGCTGCATTTCTGAGGGTTGCTAGTGTGAGACATTCCCCTATGGACCCAAGGTACTAGTGGACACAGGCCGGTGCGAGGACGAGCCCAACCGTCGGAAAGCCTCAAAGTGGGAGTGTGAGCACCTTGACATCATTTCGATCATTTGAATTTATTTGACATCTAAGTGATAGACGTTTCCCTTTGTGAGACCGGAAGTCAAGGCTTCAAAGCAATTTGGGCCCAGCTTGGGACTTTTTAAGCACGAAATGAGGCGATCATTTCACCACTCAAATGGTAAGTGGAAGTTCTTCAAAGTGTCAGGTCACCAACTTTGATGATTGTTGGCCCAAAGTCGAATGCACCTGGACCCTGGGGCTTTGGAAGTATGGACCTCCTGCAGGGGGAAGGGCCCCTGACAAGCTCAATTGCTCTATAAGGAGAGAAGGCTCTGCATCTTTGGGCTTCAAGTTCAAGAAGAGGAAATTCTTCAAGTGGGAGCGCCCAAGGGACGGGTGCGAAAGTGTTTGTGCAGAATAGTGATTGTATGACTCGAAATATATATATATTGAAATTGAAACCGTATCAATATGTTAGATAATGATAGCTAGCTCTGAACATGTTCGTTTTGGACGCAGTAGTTGTGGACCCACCCTTTTGTTTGTGCTGATGCTTGTAATCAAAAGTATCATCAAAAGTGGCATCATGTATCTGTATCATCATAATATTGGCCACAACATTACGGTCTTTTCTCAAGCGCCACATTTCGTAATGGGCAACCGGGCTTTCACTTTTCAGGTGCTTCAGGAGAGGTCCCATGTCATAGCTGCATCCATGTCCCCATTGTACACACAATGTCACAAGTGTAGACAGCAGTGAACGCCTCAAATCGGTTAGTATGTGCATATACTTACACAAACATGCATACACACATTGTGACATCGATGTCCGCGGATGCTCTTTTCAGCACTGGGTTGCAGTAAGGTCCTCATCACCTGCAGGCACAACCAGGGATGGGCAAGGAGTTAGTGGCTGAATTCGATGAACTTGCATAGGGAGACCGTAGACCGCGGAGGAATTTTCTTCGTATCAAGATGTTGCCAAGTACCAGTGCAACACGTCCTCTCCAGTGCCGGTATGCCAAGCACGGAGACTAGCAACCACATCATGCAATCATGCACGACTAGAGGGCACAAGCAGCTACAAAGCCACAACGCTGCAAGATGTCAAGCAACACAGGATGGCTCCGCTTGAGAGCTGATGGATGAGTAGCGCAATATGGCAATATCCTAATACTGACAGTACCACTGTCCAAAATGTTCAATCTCCCACCGGCCCCACCGGCAACGACAGGCTGTTTGGCTGAAAAGAGAGACAGGTCGACCTTCAAAGACAAGGCCAAGGGCGGTACATGTGACGCCTACTACAAGTGCATTTGTGTGCCTTGGACCTGGAGTGCCAAGATTGGAAGTGACAGGGAAAATCTTGAAAAGTAAAGGGTCACAGCATGAGAATACAAGGGATCGCAGGAAATTTCAGGGGATAATGGAGAAATGGATAGAAATGGACCCTCATTTTGCAGTTGACCAGCATCAAGCAATGTTTCATTTCGCTGCCCCCTGTGCCATCATGTCTTCAGCGGTTCCCGTAGAGTTTGGGCACGTTGACCTTTTCACATATCGACGCAACGGTATACATATCATTATGTAAACCGACGGCCCCATGCCCTTCCTCAGTCCTAGGCTGTGGACCCTTGACAGATATTAAGTTCTGACCTCGAGCCAGTGAAAAAATGAACCCTCAGGGAGTTTTTCCATCCTGAGTCCTTTGTCCGGAAAAAAGAAGTGCTGATTTCTCACAGGTGCTTGCACTGGCAATACTACAATACTCCTATCAGTTTGAGTCAGAGATGCCTCGGCTAGTTTCATAGTGTATAACCAAGAACTATGTGGAAGTGTCATGAATTGTGGGCAAAGTTCCCTTTTAATAGGTTTCTATCCGCAAGAGCACCTATGCTAGGGGGAAGTGTCAAGGGATGTCAAGGGTGTTTCAATAGTCCATTGTTTCATGTACTGAACAACTTGATGTTTACAGAACCATCGTGTTGTCGGTGGACGATGTTGCATTCTTATACTGGGACGTGGCATGTGATGTCCTTGTGAGATTCATGGGTCATTCTGCTGCTGTAATGCCTCAAATCTCCACCTGTTGCAGCGTGGAACCTGCAAAGCAGATAACCACCTGAAGGCTCCAGTTGCATGTCGGCAGCCAGTCAGCAGCCAGTCAGCATTGCTGAAGAAAGAGATACATGGCGGTAGCATTGTAAACCCAGGGCAGGACAAGCCAATTAGAGAACTGGAGCCTTCGTGCTTTTGGGATCCGAAAGGTGGAGAAGCCATCCCTTAAGAGAGGTAGGTGGGGCGCGCAGCCGCTGTCGATGGAGAGCAGCTGTCGCCATGATGCGGAAGTATGGTGCCAGAATGCTCGATGTAGGCTGAGACGGGGAGAGAGGACTGCGCAAGCGCGGGGCATTCAGGTTGTCCTGGATTGCTTTTCATGAGAACATTGGAGAGTTTGAAATTCTGGAGATAAGATCATTCTACTGGTCTGATATGCCGTGACTCTCTTTGATTACGGCGGGCATCCAGATGCGTTTCAGACGCCGTGCACATTTGCTGCGTCTAAGTTTCAAACATGTTCGGAGCTGGGATTGCAATTTTGCCTTTACATATCCTGATCTTATATGATTTGACCCTGGTTGTTTTTGACGTTCCTTGTGACAATGTACCCATCCTGTGTGGAGTTTGTGTGAGTGGACCTTGCCCAGCCTTGCTTTCACGATCGCAGGTAGCATTGAAGATGGCGGCGACCGAGGCTGGGCGGTGTCCAAAGCACCTCCTGGGCAGACTGCTGGACGACTACCGCTCCCTGGCAACAGAGGCAGGTAAGTTAAGGTAATTAAGTTATTAAGGCACGGCACGTTGATGGCAGTCCCTTTTCTGAGGATTTTGGGGGTTCAATTGTGTGTGTGTGCTGCATTCCATTTTGAACATGCAGATCCGCAAGCCTTTTGGATCCTTTTGGAGGGATGCTTGAGACAAAGACCTGAAGACATTCATATCCATTCTTGGATTACTGTAGATTTTCTCAACCACCGCAATGCCAGCTGCAGCTTCACCACAGTCATATCCTGCCCTTGCGGATGCCAGCACTTTCATGCACTTTAGCCATTTTTTGTCGCTGTTGAGGTTCATCTCCGCCAGAGAACTCCATGCAATGTGTGCTCGGCCTGAAGCCGTTGACAAGAAACATGTTTCATAAGCGTCCGATGGCAATGGTGGAAAGAGACAGCTAGACATTGACATGGAGGATGAAAGAGGTCGCCCTGAGTAGCTCTGAAGGTCTAGAAGTCATGCACTTGATCAGATAAGGGCTTCAGGAAGGGAATGGAAGGAATAACGGGTCATGGGATGTCATGGGTCAGTCTCTGTCATCCGTGAGACGACATTGTGACTCCATTTGTCCGTTTCCTACTTCTGGAACTATGACTAAGTATGACCAAAGCACCAGATTCCCAGGTTATGGTCCTCCGCAGCTGCGCAAATCACCTGCAGCCATCGCGATGCAGGTGGGACTGTTGGAGATTGTCATCCTCATCATTTCTTCCAGGAAATCACAAATGCAGGGGTACTTGCAAGTCAATGCAAATTGGTACGTCAAGTCTTATCATTTTGCAGCATTTTGTATCATGTTGATCATGTTGTGTCATCAGCATTTTGTCAGCTGATTCCACGAACATGGTTGGGCGCAGGCCAGGCGGACGCGGGTGAACGGGACTGGGCAACCAACTGGCCAACCAAGCGGCCATCGGCCATTGAGTAGAGTGTCAACTGCAAGACACTTGGACTCAGACAACAGGGAGGAAGGTTTGTAAAAAAGAGCAGGGTACGCTGGTTGTTAGGAGTGCTAGCCAATGCCCTTTGCGATAGGAATCTCCTATCTCATTCGATATGTGTGTGTGTGTGATATCATCCACGGCTGTGTTTGGGGGAAGGTAGGCTGGTTGGATATCATTCCAACATGGAAGACATGGCAATGGAAATTGGACTTGGCTCCAGCTCCTGCCTTTTTTTTCTTCATTTTGCTTCCATACAGCCAAAGTAGGGTAGTTTTGAAGTTTTGAAGAACACAACTGGAGCAACCGGGACGCAATCTGCATCCTATACCTTCCTCTACCATGGCCCGAATCCACCTGAGGCGCTAGCGCTCCCTTGCTCTTGGAGGAGGGAAGCACTATGGTGCACTGGTATGCCTGGTATGCCTGGTATGCAATGTGCAAAGCTTCGAAGTGCCAACTCACAGACGATACTATTTCAGCTGGTTGTTTTCTCTTCGGCGGTTGCCTATTATGTTCCACAATTTTGAGGATTTTCATTTCTCAAAGCTTGTTATGTTGGACATCATGCACATGAATACAAATGGGACTTCTGTCAAGCCTTTGACAATTATATAGATTTATATAGCATCCTGGAGGGCTTTCCCCTTGTGCATGCGAACTCGGGGAGATATACAAACCGTACAAACCTGCACATGATCCTACAAGGACTACGCTGCAGCGCAAAGAATTGTCACTAGAAACGAAGGTTACACGTTACCTTTTGTGCTGGCTTGGTTATCCGCCGCGCCTAGCCGCCTAGCCGATGAGGGATGCTGAACAGCCAAGTTGCAGTCTAAGCAGTCTAAGCCCTTCATGAAATTTTGATCTCCTGGAGACGGCATGTAGAGGAGACAGATTTCGCTGGAAACCAATGTTTCAAAAAGCGAAGAAAAACAGAAAGCGAGGGAAGATAAAAAAATCAGAAAAGCAAACAAACAATGCAGAAGAAAGAACGATGCAAAAGCAAACTAAACAGACTCCAAAATCAAACGCACACAACTAACACAGCCTAGAACCAAGCCAAAAAGCATCCACGAAACAACAGCATTTGACATGCAAAGCAGAAAACGATGGGACATGACCTCAACTCACAGCACAACCCACAACCTCTTCCGTGTATTCTTTGTGTCTTTGACCCTGCAAACACCCATGATTTCTCTGAAATTCTCTGACATATCCAGGTTTGCTGGCCGAATTCCCACGTTGTGAGCTGGCAGGATGCAAGGCTTCAGCGGATGGGATCTCGCCATAGCCAGTTCAGCAGCAACTTGGCATAACGTGGCTGTAACAATGCAGTGATGTGATGTAACCGTCAACAGATGCGCGCACCATGAGTGAACCATGCCCATTTGTTGATCCATTGGCTCCAGATTTGCCCATCCATCCATCCATTTATCGATCAAAAGCTTGTGTGAACCTGCCACAAATTTCAGAGTGTGGACGAGCTCGCTGGGGAAGACTCATGTTTAGATGTTTGCCGGGGTCTTCGCTACAGTAGTTGCTTAGGTCAGCTTCAACTACAGGAAACTTGCCCTGCATGGTTCATTTTTTGCGGGGCTGGGATGTGCAGAGTGAGAAACCCAATACAGGTCGCTTCCAAGCTCTTGAGTCGAAGTACTGGTACAGATGTGATAGATGCGAATTAGACATACATGATTATAAGTCCAAGTTATAAGTCTATTGGTTCTGAATCAGTAGTGAGGAAATGTTGACACCTTTGGGCTTTTGCGTGCAAGGATTGGAGTCGCCCGCAAACAGCCTTCGCCATCCAGGACTGTGCCTAACATGGTTGCACAGTACCGTTGAGTTTGCTGGTTGAAACTAATCAGACCATGGAGTTGGGCTACCAGTCATGGCACGTGGAATAGTCTTGATGAATCGGCGGAGCTCCCCAACAAGATCCAGCAGCAAAGTTCTTTCAGAGAAAGATTGAGTGCTTTCCGCAAGACACCGAGCAGAGCACCAGCCTAGTCGCAGAATGTCGCAGAATGTCGCAGAAAGGTCCTGGTCATCCAACCTTGACAAACGGACCCCCTCTCCACTCTCACTATCTCTCACTAGTTTCAAGCCTGACACCTGTAGCGCCGCATGTTCGATTCAGGACTGGAACAACATTGGGCAGCTGGCAGCTTTGCAGGACCAGATAGCCGGAAGAGAAAACTACTTCTGATTGTCAGGCAGAACATGCTCGTTGATAGAATTGTGCTAGGACTGTGTGGAAAAGAGCATGCATTGTTGCTGTTCACCCAGCAGCCGATGATTCCTGGATATTCCTGGCTACATTTAGAACAGAATTGGGGAAACATGGGGAAACATGTGGTAGTATTATTTGAGAATGAAGTTCAGAGTAATGTGAAACTCTTGCTTGAAGTTTAGGTTGACCAGAATGATGCAAGCGCCGATGAAGAGTTGAATAGAATGCACCGTTCCATCTTCAAACGAGTTGAGTCTGTGGCCAGCATTGGAAAAAGTTGCACTTACGGGCCTACCCATATTTCTCAACTTACCTTGTGATGCGGAATTTGATGACAGTTTTCTCCATACCTTCTTGCTGATTCTTGCCCTCAACCCACCACTGTGGCAGGATCATAGCCGTCCATATACTGCTCCTTGAATTTAAATAGCAATGTGCCGGGGAGGTTGCAGTTGCCGGGCCCCAGATTTATTCAATGCCCACTGGTGCCCATGTGCAATTTTGGATGTGGAAATGAGCTGAGCGGTCTTGCAGCTCTGATGTGGACCTTCGTGTGCGTGCATTATCATGTTTTATCTCTTCCTTCTTGCAAGGCTAACCTCGCTAGCCACCATCCTTTAGCCATCCTCTAGCCATCCCTGACACAACACGCATTGATAAGGCACCACACTACTGCAAGAGTATTGTGCCATGCATAGTTTGGCATGGTGTTATTGCCATGTTATATACCATGTTTTCACCTGTGTGGCTCTCTTATGCAGCCACACCAAGTGCTATTTGTATGTGATGCTTTTTGATCGCGCAGGCTCAAGACCTTGTGGCCGTGGTGGAGCGGCGCCTGGGAGATGATGCAGGAAGAGGTCAAGGCCTGAATTCACAGCATTTTGCATTTGAAGTTCGCAGATTTAAAGAAAGACCTTACTGTGAAAGCAATCAGGAGCCGGAATCGCTATCAATCTCTGTACAGCGTGCTCCACCCGACGCATGGGAGTTTACATGTGCACCTGTGGCCAGGCGAATGGGATATGATTGAGGCGTGGGGGGGGATGGGATTTCTTTGTTCGGCTGCAGGGAATGGTGTTTCTGTGGTGTTTCTGTGGAATAGCAAACGGGTACCGACCCATTGGCGCGCACAACCAGTTCATGGTACAATATTGCATACCATTTGACATTCTGATGTTCTTTTTGGTTTGAGGTTTATCGGTCTATATATGACTTGAGCTCCACTACCTATCTGAGTTTCATACAGTATAGCCCTGCAGCTTGGAATGTATAAGATGAGTACGTAATAGTACGTATTCCATGTGTGCACGTGCATTCAGACAAGTCCAATCAGCACAAGCTGCCAGGCGAGGTCGGTGCGGAGCAACAGCCGGCCAGGCTCCAGCCACTCGCGGCAACATAGCAACTTGCCACAACTTGCCACAACTTGCCATTGCAGGCGGTTGATGAACAACAAAGGGCATATAAGGGCATCGTGGATGAAGAACCCCAAAGATCCCCAAAGTAAGGAAGTATGGAAGCCACGTTGGGCGGATAGCATATGCAGAAATGTCGATTTGATTTCTTCAGGCCAGTTCGTGCCACCGGACTTGTAGAAATGGAAAGAATGTTGGATCACAGTACTTCCCTATTTTTCCTTCGTGATTTCTTCATCTTTGGCCTCCCTTTGCCCCTTTGCCCCAGTTGCCGTCCATCGCCGTCTGCCGTCCGAGGTCCTGGACCTCCCAGCCGGTCCTCGTCCAAGGGACCTGGCAGTCGAAGGTCTTCTAAAGGCCCAGGCAGTCGAAGCTCCTCCAAGGGACCTTCGCGGCCCATCAGTGCGATAGGATCGCTTGCTCTCAGCAACTGGTCGAAGTTGGAACAAACTTGGAGGACTTAGGGGAATTGAGAGGCCAAGACACGTCCATACACGTCCTATAGCCATCTATAGCCCGCAATTCTCAAAATCCTTGGTGAAGTTGCTTTGGACGAATCCCCGGTGATTCTGTGCACGGATGTCAAAGAAAGCTGAGTATTAAGATGTGCTTTCCAGCACAAGCGAAGTAAGTAAGCACGGAAACCACACATTGAGGTAGCGCACACAGACCCTCCACATCTTCTGGTGCTTTGGCTTTGGTTGACAAAGGGAGGAGCAGGAGCCGTCAGCAGGGAATCGGTGCTTGCTCTTCCTGTCAATGCAGGTACTAGGATGGACTGAACACCAAGCAGCTTCCTCAACATAGCAGGTATCAGCAGGTAATGTTCTGCATTTGGATAGGCATACGGGTTGTCCTGATGCGAATTCCAGCCTTCGGCATGTTCCTGTACCCTATCAGCAATGAATCTACTACCGGGTTTGGGCGCTCGGGTTTTTGTTAGCATGACAGCATATGAAAGCATATGACAGCATGATGTTTCAGATTTCTTGTCTTGGCACGTTCCTCGACGCCAATTCCATGATTTGGGTCATTGGCCGACAAGAGCTGGACCAGAGGTGGACCAGTCGACAAGAGGTTTGCTGACATTTGGAAGTTCTCATGAATAGAGCTCCGACAAACTGAAGTTGGCAAGAAACTTGGAAAGACGTTTTTTTAGTGTACTGCAAATATCTGTCTGCTATATATACACATATATATGATACTATATATATATTATTATATATTATTATATATTATTATATATTATTATATATATATTTATATATCCTGACTATCTCTATCTCTCTATCTCTATATCTTCCATATGTCTATTTGTTTGTCTGTCTATCTGTCTATCTATCTACCTATCCTAATCATTCCTAATCCTAATCCTAGTCCTAATCCTATCCTATCCTATCCATCTAATTAATACATGTTTTTTGTTGTTGTTTTCCGTATGTGACGAATTTTCGTTTTCGGCCAGGAGGAGCTCCAAGTCGAGCCGACGCTTCTCACGTGCCTCCAGGTCCAGCCGTGCCTCCAGCCATGGGAGTCACACAGATGACGAGGACGGTGAGATCCTGGTGACAACTGCGACGATGTTTGGCAGAGTTACACAGTAGCGAATCTGTTGGAAATCTGCCGCAAACCTCACGTTTTTGTTCCGCTTGCCACTATGACCCCACTATGGCCAGATGATACCAGATGATAGTTGATTTGGTGCTGTGATGATTTCTTTGTCTTTCCGTTACGCTTTGGATGCTTTGGACTCCTCCAAGATACTCGTAGGAACAATCTGAAGAGTTTTCTTTGTGGATTTGAGTCCACAATGATATGTCTATTTGCATTTGCAAGGGTTCAGATGGGTTCAGATGGGTTCAGATGGGTTCAGTTTTCTGAATGGCGTACCAGGATCCTGTGTCGCCCTCCCAGAAGCCGCTAAAAGACCGGAAGTTGTCATCGGGCGCATGTCACTCGGATTTACGAGATGTCCGAGGGTCCAGGCCAATTAAGGCCATGACATGGCCATGTATGGATAGGTTATGGACAGGTATGGGTAGGGTTTAGACACATAGATGCAGGATATGAATACAGAATACATCATTAATTACATATATTACATGTCATCATCCATGCATCTACAGCATATTTTTGCATACTCGTATATGCAGTATATAATGTGTATATATGATTATATATGCACCATATATAGGTATATATTATTATATAATGCACAATACACATTCCTTGTTTGTGACCGGATCCTGCAGCAAACCACAGTCTCTTCAGCGGGCGGTCAAGGGTTGTTACTGAGGCCTTGGTCTGGGTTTGGCAGCCTTCGAGCATCGCAAATCGAAAATGCTCCTCAGATCAGAACTGCCGGAAGAGTTCCTTGGATTATCTGATTATCTTGGATTATCTGATGATTATCTATTATGGTTGGATTCATATGGATTGATAGGATCTGGAATGACATTCCCAAACTAAATCAAACTTAAGAGGAATGTGGGCAACCCAACTACAACTGCTGAATACCACTAGGGCATACTAGGGCCATGGTGAGCATTGCTGCCTTGGCTGTTGTCTGAGGCCCAAGGAAAGGCCCAACACGGCCTCGAGAAGACCATCAGAGGCTTCATCTCGAATGTCTCGAAGGACAACTGAGGCATCTCCTGTGTGTTTTTGCAGTACAATTCCTCCACATTCGTTCACGCACGCTGCTGAGCAAAGCAACCATGTCTGTGCCAAGAGGTTGGTCGTCATGGTGTGGGTTATTTTGCTTGTTTGTTCGTTCTCCTGCTTCCACCCATCTATCCAGAGTGTGATGAAGCACTGTGGAATTGGTGATACATATGCCTACCATTGCCCACCTAAACTATTGACCGGATTCACTTTGAAAGGCAACGGCTTATTTCTCTACTCCTGTGGCCCGTTTTAGTTGTTGGCCTTGCCTGGTGGCAGGTGGGGACTCCGCGAAGCAAGGTGGAGGAGAAGGCCCCGAAGAAGGGCGAAGCTTCATCTCCAAATTCAAAGGAGACCAAGGGTAGCTTTGGCAAAACTCGGAAAGAAAACGAATTGGAAGAAATGGGCAAGAATGGGTCTTTGCGGGTCTGTGCGTCTTTGTGGAAATGTGTTTGACGGGTGGGCCTAACACACCTGCACAGCACGAAACATCCAAACAGCTGCCGCCTAGTGTAGCTTGTAGGGACATCTTCAAGTGCATGTTGAGGGTTCATTGATATGTAGGGTGCCCGCTGAGGCATCTTCCGGGTTCACATGGAGGCCAAAGCCAAAGAAGCCTTCCAGAAGAGGAACAAAGGCCAGCATGGCCAGCCACGTCGGCCGGATATGGTTGCAATCCAGCGGGCAGCACTGTTGGCTTGTCTGCCGCGCGTACCTGTGCACATGGTTTGCTCATGTTTGTACATGTTCATGGTGCCGGTGCATTCCGATGTGACTGGAATCACACTCCAGACCACAGAATGCAGCAGAAATCCTTGCCCACAGAAGGAACAACTGTCGTCCTTGGTGGTGAAGATCAAGACCCAGTGCAACTCCCTGGCCATCATTTGCATGGAAACCCAGCCTGCTATTGTTTATTATTCTATGTTATTTTTATAGATGTTCAATGATATATTCTTGTTCTATGCCTCTTAGGTCCCGGCCCTCCAAGATACACAACATGGTAGAATGAGGTATAGGGAGGTCACGAGGGTTTTGCCTTGCCATAAAAGCAGCTTTTGTATGTTTGCATGGTAAGTTTCTTCATTGCATTATATGCATCTATGCCCGACGGCCTGCTAAAGAGGTTGCCTGCTACGGTGCGAGCTTTAGATCTACCAACAGCCTTGGATATGTTCGAGCACTATGACAAGGCCGCTATCACTTCCATCACTTCACAGGGAAATGGAACACAGCAATTTTGGTTTGCAAGCGAGAAGGGAGTCTGATTGGGATTCAACTTTGGGTAGCGGGTAGCGGTTTTTTCTTATTTATACGATAGAAAAACGCTAGGAACCGTGAAGCAAACGATGAGTCCAAGCTGAATTTTGGTGGGGTTCATGCTCTTGCCCACGCTGACGATCAAGTGCAACATTGGTTTTTGTACGCCTGTGTGTGGGCCTGCGCCAGAGAATCCGTAAGCTTGGGTGAAGATGTTTTCGAAACTCGAGGATGTTTGCTGTGTCACATTGTCATGAATTGTCGTCCTACCATTTGTAACAGCTTTGTCCCGCCAGATACGTGCCCATGGGAGCACAGGCGCGCACTGAATTTGTTGGGGTAACACTCGGGTCACTGTTGGCACTTGGCGAGGTAGATGTCACGAGCAAACGGGTGCTACAGTAGCAGTTTCTTCATTTTGCTTGTTCTATCTACCTCTACAGTAGGGGTATCCATCATCCCAATCCTAAATGGGGTTCATTAAATCCATTTTATATTCATTAGTATATACTATTATATAATTAACGTGTTTCTTCTTGCTTTCGGACGATCAACAATTCTAAGGCAAGCTCCTTTTGAGCTTTGCAACATAAGGATGAGCAAACCAACTTGGCACTCCCGCACGTGTTTTTTGTGCCCTGCCAGGCTTGCTGGATCGCAGGGCTTTTGCGGAGATGCTCTTTGCAATCGCGCAGGGCAAGGTTCAGACTGAAGCATTTTTGCCACGTACATTTTCATGCTGGGTACATCTGGGTACATGTCAGGTTTGCACTCTGAATGTTCTGCGTTCACAATGCAACCTATGCAGCCATTCCTAGCTTCTGTTTTGCCAAGTCAAACTTTGCGCACCCCTTGCATGCCCCACTTTTTGGCAGGAAGCGATGACAGAACAGTGGAGTAACGCGATATTTGATGCCCTGGAGACTTGTCAGAAATCGAATAGAACTCATGTCTCGAGACAAGACTGTTGACAACCTGGCCAGGCCTAGGAGAGTTTTTGCTCCGCCCAAGGACTTCGAACAACGGGGCTTGCTGGATCGAGATCAAGTTCTAGGACTCTCGGCTACCAATGCGAACGTTGCGACCGGAAATATGCCGTGATCAAACATATGAGACTCCAAAATGATGGTCAGCCTTGCATAGCCTTGCCCCTCTTCTGTGCCTTAAGTTTTGCGCGTATAGGCGTAGGGCGTAGGGTAGCAGGACGCCAGCATCCAGAGGCGAACTATCAAACTAAGCTCAAGAGATCTCAAGAGTCAGAGTCCAGGACTCATCGTGTGTACATTGTTTGTTTCCACGGTTGCGACGGTTGCCACGCTAGGATGGGAGTTTGCAATGCATAACAACTATCACAGCAATATCCGCCGGAGATTCCACAAAGTTGTGAACGACACACAGGTCCGAGAGCCCCTTGGATTTGCATTGCTTATGATGTCGGAAGTATGTCGGATGGCTGCATTTGTTGCGACTCTGGTAAGGGCGGGAAGGGCTTCCCTGGCCAGCTTAAGATGCTCCAGCCAGGAAGATATTCAAGGCACTTTCAAGGCGTTCCCTCAAACTCCTACTTTTGCGTCGTGACATGTTGTGACATGTTGTGACATGTTGTGACATGTTGTGACATGTTGTGACATGTTGTGACACTATGATTCATCAAAGGCTCCTCGAAGCACTGGCTGTTGGCAGCGTGCAAAGCTCAGCACTTTTTAGTCAGAAATCCCAGTTCGAACGATTCTCCAACCTATTTTGGTCTATGTCCTGGCATGTTTTTTGGGTATTATATCTCAATGATTCTCAATGCACATAATGTACTCGGTGATGCTGGATAAAACCAGAATGTACCAGAATACTCTGTGAATATTCAAGACCTAGTGCTGGCCTGGTCCCAAATCATCTCCATCTTGTTGCAACCTATCTTGTTTTTTGACATGTTGCCCAACTGCCCAACATGTTGTTTTATCGATTTCCAACATGGCCAGCATCAGCAACTGCGTTTCGCATTGTGTCGCTTTGTTTCGCTTTGTTTCTCAGGGCTTCCGAAAATTGGAGCAGTTGCTGGTCACCAAAGAGGCCGGGCTGTTGCCAAGATTTGCCAAGTCCTGCCACGACTTGGCATCCACTTAGCATGCACTTGGCAGCCCTCATAAATATCATAAAATGTTCAAAGTGTTTGAAACTCAAAAGATATAAAAGCAACTTGACAAATCTTGACAAATCTTGACAACTCGGAAGCTTTGATTCTCGCATGGAGCTTGTAAATCATTTGAAATCTATAGCTTTTCCAGGGGTCACACTTATATACATGCAGTCCGGCATAAACGGAACTCAATGAGCAAGATGGTGGAGAAACATCCCGGCCACAAAACCGCAAAGTTTGAATCTATATAAATTTGATTTGGATAGAGTTGGCCTGATATTTCAGTTATGATTTCCGAGTCTAGCTGGCTGCCGATGTGCTACCTACTCTACCAAGATGTCTTGATCGGTGGCATTACCTGCAGTTGTGGAAAGACCTAATTTTAGGATTTTAAATTGAATGAACCGAATGAACAATGATGTCGTCTTGGTTCAGCCGTGCATTCGAGGAGTTGTGGTTTGTGGTGGATACCGGCCGTGTGCCGCTCTCGCGTAAAGCATCCGACGAGCTCCACGCGTATCTGTCCATCGGGCATGACGATGAAGGCAGGAGACCACATGGGCACTTATCATAGATGTCCTTATGATGTCCTTTTCCCACAAGTTGGTTGTTGAATGGAGAGGTCATCCGAAGTAAACAATTTGTGGATCAATGGCGACATGTTTTTTCCAGAAGGACATTAATTGGACTGCTGAGGCATGCCACCTTTGAAGCAGTGAAGCCAACTTCTCACCTTGGATTCTTTTTGATTGGGAGAATGATGTGGGAAGATCCATCCAAACCCAGAAGACCCAATGGAGACAGAGAGAGAGAGAGGGAAAAAAAGAGAGAGAGAGAGAGAAAAAGAGAAAAAGGTAGAAAGAAAAAGGGGAAGAAGATATTGCTGCAGTCATGAGAAGCGGAAGTGAGCTCCCGTTGTTGCTTTGGGGTTGGGGGAGCCTTGTGAGGTCTTGATCCTCATGAGCTGCTTGGAGATACCCTGTCGCAAATTGTAGTGCTGTGTGAGTTATCGAAATCCGCAGTTGCGCCTCACAGTACACACTTCCATTCAAGCAATTGCCCGTTCATGCATCATACATTGAGCATGCAATTGCGTGAGTCGCGAGGCAAGTGTTCATCGCATTTCAATTCGTTTGAAAGGTTTCTGAACTGGCTTTTCCCTGGGCGTGAGCTGCGAACGCTGCAGCAGAAGGCAGTCGAAACATAGGGACCGGAAGGGCGAGCATGATAACATACCATGACCATACCGATCTATACCGTGTAATACTACAATATCTACAATATACTACAATCGCTACAATGACATTTGTGGTTCGATAGGGAAGAGGAGGAGGTACCCTAGAAACCTTTGCTTAGACTCAGGCAATCTTCAGGAATGATTTTTGAAAACCATTAATCACAAGGATGATCCAAAGAGTCCTGCCCACAAGACGGCTTGATCGCTTGGGAACAGAACCAGAACCAGGGGAGATTCATCATTCTCACCAGATATCAGGTATATATTTAAAACAAATCCCCGGCAAATTATGCAAATTGACAGAAGCAGCACAGTAGCAGGTTTGTGACACTGTCACACCCACACTTCAAACATCGTGGAGTTCACTCAACATGGAACAATCATGAACAATCAAAGTTTAGGTCTAAGTATCTAAATAACAAGGAAACGTTCTTCTAGCAGGAAGTTTATATTCTTGGAATCGTAGCTGTAAGACAGGGTAGAAGTTATTCTGTTCACTTAAAGCTGTGTCAAAATCAATCGATGTTAAGTAGTTAGAGGATGTTATATAGAAGTTTGCAACTTGAATTTCCAGGCCAGAGGAGCATTCATTGCTTTCATTTGCCTACAGTGTTGAAGAGTGTTGAACCAGCGTATCTGTAGCCCCAGATGACTTGATTTGGTTGTTGTACACGTTGCCAAACAAAGCAGTTCGACTGGATATCTCGAGTAGAAGATCATGCCGTACTACCGGGTACCAACGGTTTTGCATATTGTTGCATTGTCCGTCCATACATGATATTGACTGATATTATGAATATAGATTGGCTATGATTAGCTTACAATTATGTGATTGATATTGAATTGATTGATCATATTGCCTTCCGCGGTGTCACTTTGTTCTTGTTTCCAACACACACCAGATGCCCCAGGTGGATCAGATGCGTCAGCAACAACCACACGTGGAGGAGGGCCAAGCGCTTTGCCAAACGGTGACGAAGACTCGTTAGATCGTTGAAATCAATTTGGAAAAGCATAGAAAATTCAAGAGGATCCAGGAAGAACTGTGTGTGTGACTATGTGATAGTGCAATCATTTTCATGATGACTGGGACTGGATTTGTTCGAGAGATCTAACAAAGAGTCTGTAACGATTACATACCTACCTGCAAATGACGAATTGCAGTACAAAGGTGTTTTGTGTTTGCTGGCTTATGTTTGTGTGGGGCTGCGGTTTGGGCAGAAAATAGGATGTGGTATGATGTGGTCATATCTTTTGCAGAAGTTGAACTTGTAACTTGTTTACCATTCTTTACGCTTTTGCAGGATCTCGATGAAGAACCGGAGCCAGTGCTGCAGAAAAACTACACAGCTCCAAAGCGGCCGTTATGGGAGTCTCGGCATGGCATGCCCGAGACTCTAAGTCTTGAACGAATGCGACGTGATAGTTGAATATAATTGAATCAGAGGATTAATTGACAGTATGTCACTGATCCAAAGAGTTTGCGCTAGATTCAGATTGCCCGCAATCAGTTTGATAGCACGAGCTGCAAGTGAGCAACTGAGGAGAATGGGCTGAAGCTGCCCATCGTGATAGAGTTCACGATCGCTCAAAATTGTCTTGCCAAGATCCACTTCATTGAGGATCCTGCACCATCTCAGGTGTTGCTTTCCAGTGCCACCATTTCCAACCCCAAGCAAGTGCTCAATTCAGAATTCAGGCTTGCTGCATTTCACTGACCCATCCCATTGTCATCATACCCTGGCCCCAGGGTCATCCAGCGCCAGCGCAGGAAAACCTGGAAGCTTTCAGCGAGCTGCAGCTTGAAGTGACCATTGTCACGAGCCAGCAGTCAGGGATTGTTTGGGACGATCCTGAAGCTTTGCTGCTGGTTTCAGGGGGAAATCGTTCCATGCAGGCCTTTAGCATATTTGCAGTCCTTTACAGTACACGTTTGAAACTTTGTCCCTTGTGTGTCATGCTTCATTCATAAAGCACCCCAGGTGGGCAGGAAAAAAGCCGGATTTGCATTTGCAGCTCGAGGTAAAGTAATACAGATGCAAGAGCTGGGAAGGGGTTGTGCACAGACTGAATAGTTATGGTCGGTCTCGCGGAGTTGTTTTTGTCATATCTTGTCACACTTGAGGAATTCCATGAGACGACCTGAGCCATCACTGCCGCAAAAGATATCTAAGGTCTTGGATGACACCCTGAGGGAGACATGCAACAAAGTGGTGGCAAAGATTGGCCGTGAGGTTTGCCTTTGGGATGCTGGTACCATGAGCCTCGGCAAGGTCCAGTGAGCGATTTGGCGCCAGCGACAGATTTCACGCCACGATGTCACGATGGCACAAACAACGCTGCTGAGTGCTGAGGACTCCCTACAGAGAGGACCCCTTTGAAACCAAGGCCCATAGAAGGGCATGGTAGCACTTTGGTGGATGAATCTGGGTCAAAGCAAGAATCTAGAAATGTCTAGGACTCCCCCAACTTCCATTCATTGAAGACATTCAAGCGGGTAGCAAAGGGATGTTTCCACTTACGCATACCCGTTGGAAATATTGATCCACTTAAACTTTACATTTATTGAAGACATTCAAGAGGGAAAAATGAGGGGCATGTTTAGTTTCACCTAAGAGATTTAAAATCTTATCCCTGTCATGCTTTCAATGCTTTGCATTCATTGAAGTCCAAAAGAGCCACAAGCACATTTTGGCACGCACTTTTTCCGCATTTTGCAGGGTTGACATGCTCAGTCAAGCCCCACCAGGGTATGAAAATGCTTCATATCCAATGATTAGATAGCTACAAAGTAAAAAGTTGCAGTGCCTACAAGGTTCCTTGAAACGCCCAGCAAGACGTCAGGACATAGCATGTGTGTGTGCTGGCCTAACTGGTGTGGACCCAGCCCGGCCACAAAATGATCAAAAGTCAATCACCGTCAATCTATATGAACGTTTTTTTGGTGGAGAACCCTAGTCAGATCTAATTAGTGTTTTATGCCATGTCACGTCACGGTCCTGGTCATGGGATGTCATGGGCTTCTGGCCACAGGCAAGTTCATGGGCATGGCTGAAGAAGTACCTCATGACCCTTTGCCCGGATGCGTCCGGTTCCCGAGAGATCCGCAGAGCGTAGTTGCAAACTGTAGAATTGGTAGACGGAGGATGGCAGCAGAGCTCTGCCACACACTGTTCAGCTACATAATATATCATAGTATTATATATATAATTATATATATAAATTATTTATATATATAGAGAGAGAGAGAGAGAGAGAATTATATATATATAGATATAATTATTGCAGATTGATGACGAACGCATTTTGTAGCATCTTCCTATATATTTCCGGATGCCAACAGTACCCTTCTGCTTTGTTGTACTTGATATGGCCATGCTCTTTGCCACGAATACTAGGGACCTGACGGAACATAGCAGCGGAACATCATGATAACACAGGGAGTCAAACTCCATGCGCACAGCAGGGCCTTAAGATTCGGCATAGCTGTGGCCAAGGATTGAAGCATCCCAAGTGGCATTCTTGAAGGGTCAGAAGACACTTGGAAATTTGTGCAGCTTTTGCACAGGTCAGGATTTGAATATAACAGTATAACTTACAGACTTACAGTAGAACATATAGCTTTCCTTTCGAACGTCCAAATCAGTTCATTGCTGGGTCGACAAGGTGCTGGTTACAAAGTTAGATTTCTGAGTTGCTTCGGTTCTACGCCTTTTTTATTTTTCTGAAATGCCACCTGTAACATTTAAATGCCTTACTTCGAGGCTCGCAAGGGGCATTGGAACAGAACTACATGACATGACACGACATGGCTACATGTCTCACAACCCAGTGACTATCACGACGGTTCACCGCGATGTGTCATGATGGTGTCCTGGTAGACCACCACAGCCAATTTGCCAAAACAGCATCGGACGTACCAAAGAATGCGTGGAAATTATGTGGGTTTGCTGTGGCCTTGTTGTTTTACAGAGGATGTTCTCATTCCAGAACCTCACCCAGTTTGGTGATAACCAGAAAACATCAGGGAAAATCTACGCATTATTTTACAACAAGTCGGCCACAGCAAGCCCAAAGGTGATTCCCATAGCACTTCTCCGGGAGGATGCTCACAGTCATTGCACATAGGCTTACGCTTACATTCATAGAGGCTCAACAAAAACTCAAAGTTGTTTCTTGTGTTGTCGCATGTTGTCCCAGCTGCTAAGGAGACAATTGCAACGGATGAAGAAAGCCTCAAAAGCACGCAGACAGTCGAGTGCCCCCATTGAAGCACCAGATGAGCCGTGACACTGTAGGAATCCATCCGCACAGCATGAAGGCCATCTCCAACTCATTCCAACTCAAGGAAACCAAGAAAGAAACATGTTGCATTGGCTAGATTCCTTTTCCTTTGGATGTCGTTACCTGGTCGTTGTAGTGGGGAAGGCCACAACACAGTGCCCTCCCCTATGAAACTTCTGAAGCTTTGCATCAATTTATCAGTATAGTTTCATGAAGTTTGGAGTCGCAGTGGTTGAATGACCCATTGACTCCTTTCAAAAGGAAGATTCAGCACCCAAGTCCACCAAGTCATCTCACCCTCCAAACATCAGAAGGGCTACTAGCCTAAAGTGTTTAGGAGTGCTTTTGAGTTCAGCAGTATTTTAATGTATTATACTTGAAGATTCTCATGTGCATCCATCATCTTCATACTAGTTACTCCCTTCCTGATTGGGTTCATCATCTCATCTATTACTGTATTTTGGCTCAAGATGTTCAAAACAAGCCCGCTGACTGTTGTGTTTGTCTGTGGTTTTGTCTTTGGGGGGAACAGATTCAAAATCAATTGGTTATCAGTCGTATTTGCTTCTGTTTGACCGTTTTTGGGGATTTCATTTCAAAGGCTGCCAGGTGCCTTGAACCTGGCACACATGTTGCCGCGTCGACCGTGACCTACGACTGGATTGCATTTGAATCAGAATCTTTGTTGGCAAAAGGCTGGAACAAGAATCACGCCAGATCCAAATTCCTCATCCTTGAATCTGTCATCCGAGTCCATGCATGTTAAGGGAGGTGCAGTCACAGTTCATTCATCACGTAGCCGAAGCTCATCAGGGATTCCAAAAACAGGGGGACGGTCGTCAAGAACAAAACAAGTTTCAAGCGCTTGCCAAAGGCGTCAAGTCATGAGCGTGCCATGTCACCAGTTCCTCTTCTGCATCGTTCCGCATCGGCCTCCCAACCTGCGACTTTCATTCCCCAAGAGTAGAGTCTAGTGGTCAGCCTGATGCCCGGGATCCATCATTCACAGACGGTCCAGTATCATGATCACCGCACTCAGCACGTGAATGTCGGTGTTGATCCCATGGATTTTGCCAACATGGTCCTCGAAGCCAAGAGGGCGGTTCAGGAATCTGATGAAAGAATCAAGGGATTGGAAGGCTTTGCTCAAGATGTGTACAGTCAGGCTTGTTCACGTATCCAAGAGTTGCTTGGTGTTGAGAGCCTTCAGCTATCAAATCAAGGCTTTCAAAATCAGATCCATCAATCTGAGCAAATTACAGCGACGTCACACGACCTCACTTGAAATTTGACCTAGATACCGAATTAAGCTCGTGATGTGCAAGTGAACTATGAGGGTGCTGATTCGATGTTTTTCCACTGTCAATGTTCTTCTCCTGTGCCTGCATCCTTTTTTCTTCCCTTGAGATGTAAAAAAATCCTACCGCAGTGCCGTAGGCTGCTTTTCCTTCTAGCCCTCCCCCACCCCATCCGGAGACGTAAAAATTCCTACCGCAGTGCCGCAGGCTGGCTTCTCCCGAGCCTTCCCGCACCCCATCCGGAGACGTCAAGATTCCTACCGCAGTGCCGTAGGCTGGCTTCCCCCGAGCCCTCCCCCACCCCATCCGGAGATGGAAAGATTCCTACCGCAGTGCCGTAGGCTGCCTCCTGGCCGTCCCACACCCCATCCGGAATCCGGAGACGTAAAAAAATCCTACCGCAGTGCCGTAGGCTGGCTTCCCTCCGAGCCCTCCCCCACCCCACCCAGAGATGGAAAGATTCCTACCGCAGTGCTGTAGGCTGGCATCCCCGAGCCTTCCCACCCCATCCGGAGAGTCAAGATTCCTACCGCAGTGCCGTAAGCTGGCTTCCCTCCTATAGCCTTCCCGCACCACATCCGGAGAGGTAAAGATTCTTACCGCAGTGCTGTAGGCTGGCTTCCCCCGAGCCTTCCCGCACCTCATCCGGAGACGTCAAGATTCCTACCGCAGTGCCGTAGGCCTGCACTTGCGGAGCCGTCCTCGTCTGACTAGAAAAGTGGGGCTGCACGTCTTCTGGGAGCACGACCTCATATTTTCATTAAGTCACCACGACCTTGCTTAATTCCATACCTTGAAATATGAAATTCGACCCACGACCCGTGAAATATAGTAATTTGACCAGATCAATTAAATTCAGAAGTGGCCAATGTTCGCGCTCAGTTGGAGCCTCAAATCACTCGGAATCACGAATTGGGCAGAAGAGTTGAGAGCTCCGCCAACATGTTTGACGACAAAGATGCCGAAATTTCACGACTGATGGGTGAAGCCCACCAGCTGAAGGATTCGGTCGACTCCCAACGTTTGGTTTTGGAAGAATCTCAAGTTCAGAATTCGTCCCTTCGTCAACGCTGTCAAGATGTGGAGATGAGTTTGGCTGCACAAAGCGCCGCTCAACCAGTTGATCAAGTCAGGTCTGCTGCTCCTCCTCCGGCCATTTCAGCGCAATTGCAATCCATGATGGAAGTTTTGCAAGATCTTTCGACTCGTATGCCAGCGCTTGAAGATGCTCAAGCGGTTCATGTCGATCAATTTCAGAGCCATAATAGCGCGGCAGTGTCTTTTCGGTTTCCACCTTCTGGTCTTCCTCCAAGACCTCATCCTCCTTCTCCAGCACTTGCCGGATCAGGGGGACCAGGGTTTCCATCAGATGATGGCGGAGATGGACGATGAAGATGAAGAACTTGTTCGAGATCGCATGCCCCAAAGCTCTACCATGATCTAGTTGGGAGGGACATCGTGGGTGTTCCTTCGCTTCGGTATGCCACATTAGATTGGCTTCCTTCCAGTGCTTCGGATTTCAGGGCCTGGAAAAACGAGTTGTTGCTGATCATGGCAAAGTTGGATATCAGTGATAGGGATGATAGGGATTACTTAGCACATGGGCTTTCAAAAGCTTATGAAGTGAATTCCGATGAAGTAACCAAGCATGATTCTGGTTGCGTCCCGCGTTTAGATCGTTGGTTGGCAGCTGAAATATCAATATCAAAAGATTGTGAAAACGTGCCTGAATTGCAGTTCAAGATCATGGCGCACATTGAAGGATGCACACGAATTGGAAACCACCCCAGGGGCAGATACTTGTTGCACATTGTTTCCAGGCATTTTGACATTGATTGCGCCCGTGGTTCATTGCTTACTTCGCAATCGATCTTTCAAATACGGCTTGATGGTTACAGCGCCAAGCATTTGCAAAAGTTTTCAGGTCGTGTCCTTCGCACTTTGAATAGTGTGCCGCAGGAAGATTGGCCGTCTCAGCGCATGATAGGTGAGTGGTTGTTTCATCAGTTGAGGCAAGTTCGCAAGTTGGAAAGGACCATTGATGAGCTCAAGAGAAGCGATGCTCAGTCGCCGCTCCGTGATTTTGATCATCTTTGGAATAGGTTGCAGGAACACTTGCTTGAGGAAAGAGAGGACATCAATGCGCAATCAATTGAAACTTGTTGAAGTCCAGCTTGCCAAAGAAATCGCAGCCCGACAAGCCCACCAGTGCGCGTGCTGCCATCGCTCCAGCATCTGAAACAAAGACTTCCCCAAAAGGTAAAACCAAGGGAAAAGGAAAAGCAATGACAGCAGAGCAAAAGGCCAAAACAGCGTGCATCTTCCATAGGATGCCTACTGGATGCGTCCATGGAGAAAAATGCCAGTATCTCCATGAGCCTCCTCCCACACCTTCCTGAGGATCGGGGGGGTTTCATCCATCCAATTGTCAGAAAATCCGATGAGGTTTGTGCTGCGCTGAGCTTAGTTGGGTGGGAGCGTTGTGGTTTGCCGATTCTCCTGGCTGCTTTTGGGTTTTCTCGTAAAATGCGTTCAGCTTCTGGTTTTTCAGTGTCTTGTTTCTTCCAATTGCCGGTCGATCCAATGAAGTTTGTGCTGTGCCGAGCCTAGTTGTATTGGAGTTTTGTGCTTTGCCGATCCTCTTTGCCGCCTTTGGATTTTCGCCTGTCTGGTTTGTCACCGTCTCATTTCAACATCTCGTCAAGACCTCAGTGATTGCATGGTCTTTGGGCTTTATCTGCTAAGCAACTTTCATCAAGTGCGTGCTTGTCGTTCTTCCGCTCGCGCAATCGTCAGTCAATTGGGCTCCATCTTATTTCACCGTTATAGTCAATCCGAATGATTTCAATCATGGAGGCGATTCATGGACTTCATTGCCTTCAAACTCGTTGATCCTGCTAAGCATTGAACGATTTAGGCTAAGCCTTAACCCTGCAAGGTTCAATCTGTCAATTTTGTCAGTTCAATGGGCTTGTGCCTTGCCGTCCTCCATTGGACTTGAGCACATGATGTGCTAAGCTGTCATCCGCCATTAGTTCTCAGGTGTCAACCTGTTGCCATTTGTCACCATCCGGGTGTGGCAAGTCGCTGTAAGCACAGCATGGGTGCGATTAAGTCTCACCCGTGAACTTTTCATCCATTGGATTTTGCTGGGCCATTTCTTGTGGATATGCCACTGGACTCTCATTGTCTTATCTTCGGGTCTGACATTAGATCGAGAAGAGTCATTTGTAGGATCATAGTTGCCCGGTTGTGTTTGGCTGTGTCAGCGCCTCCTACTGTGTACCGGTCCTTTGAGCATCGGTGATTCAGTCCCATTGCCTCTTTTTGAACTTCCTGGCATCGGTAATTAATTTGGACCTCAAGCATCCGTTGGGCATTCGATAAGTTAGATTGTCGGATTCACATGATCCCATGGCGCCGGGTGATTATGTGCACAGATTCCTGCGGATGAACCCTGTACAGTTCAGAGGAGGGGAGGCTTGAAGATTCTCATGTGCATCCATCATCTTCATACTAGTTACTCCCTTCCTGATTGGGTTCATCATCTCATCTATTGCTGTATTTTGGCTCAAAATGCTCAAAACAGGTCCGCTAACTGTTGTGTTTGTCTGTGGTTTTGTTTCTGGGGGAACAGGGTCAAAATCAATTCTTATGTGTGGATTTCATCGTGTTTGGAATGTTTTGGATCTACTTACCATTTTTGTT